TAAAGCGAAGACAGTGGTGATGAGTTGAGGGCAGTGGTGAGCTGTAGGACAGTGGTGATTAGTTGAGGACAGTGGTAAAGCGAAGACAGTGGTGAGGTGTAGGACAGTGTTGATGAGTTGAGGACAGTGGTAAAGTGAAGACAGTGGTGTGGTGGGGACAGTGGTGATGAGTTGAGGACAGTGGTGAGGTGAGAACAGTGGTGAGGTATAGGACAGTGGTGATGAGTTGAGGACAGTGGTAAAGCGAAGACAGCGGTGAGGTGGGGACAGTGGTGAAGCAGGACATAGTGGTTAGGTGGGGATACAGTGGTAGGCCTCATCCTCTTCTCTTGTCAAAACCTAGTGGATGGTGCCTGGACAGAGTGGAGCAAGTGGTCCACATGTGGCACAGAGTGTACCCACTGGAGAAGGAGAGAGTGCGGCGCCCCTGCACCCAAAAATGGCGGCAAGGATTGCGATGGCATGGTGCTCCAGTCCCAGAACTGCACTGATGGCTTGTGTATGCAGAGTAAGTACTCACTCATTTGCCAGTCCTCCCTCTCGCACGGAGGAGAGGGCACATGTCTCTTGCGCCATATACAGTAAATATACTGTGTATTGTCCTGAGCTTCATGATCTCTCGTCCTGAGGTGATGGGTCCTGACAGGACAAAACATGTCTCCATCAGGAAAATAAATATGTTTCAAAGTAGATGGTACAACAAAAACCAGTTCGGGTTCAGGTTCAAAAAAGTTCAGGTCTGACAGGGAAAGAGCTATGGCACTCAGATCCAAGTGTTTAGAAAGGTATCATTTAATCAATTTCTGCCCCAAATTCTTTGTAAAATCCCAACACTAGCTCACACACACAAGAGCACATGCATGGGACTCAACAGTCTCCAGTGCCAGCATCTGGTAGCTGTTTTGGCATTAAGCAACTGTGAACAGCTGTTCGCTCCCATTTTTCCAGAGTGTATCTGTGCAATTGCCAAGTGTCTGTGGGTATATTTTTGCAGTAGCTGTTTGAACAGGAAGTGACAGGGAAGGATACCTGAGCTGAAAACTGTGTTTAACAGGGAGGGGAGGCCCTTGGAGACCGGAAACAAAGCACTGCCAAGCACAGACAAGCAGAATTAAACTTTCTTTTTTTAAAAAAACTAACAGTGTAGATTATCAGATGTTTTCTGAAACATGAGTGAAAGCAATTAACCCAGTTAAAGGATACACATTATGGAGCTATATGTATAAAAGGAAGCTCATTAGTGTACGCACACGAACTAGCATAATTATACAACTGAGATCAGAGAGATTTTGACCTCGTTTTTTCACAATTCACATGATTCAACATTACAGATGATTTGAAAATCGGGGCCATAAGGCCATTCTAACTCACATAAATGAGAGTAAGAGTTTCCATGCAATTAAGAACAATGACATGTTTTGTTGTTTGGCTCTAGTTGAACAAGCAATGGGGAGTTTTTTTCAGTGCTCCTGTAAGCACCTGTGATGAAGTTTTGAAATCTGTCCCATTAGGAATTACAGCCCTAACATTTCATTGTAGCTCAGGGCTTTTGTTGTGACAGATCACAGAACAGCACCGGGCTGGTATTGCCCCTCAACGTTGCATTCCTTAAGAGCTGCTGTTGTAAATGAAAAAAACAAACATTTTTTCAAGGATCTATGTCAGAGTTTGTTACAGGCAACAGCCTTGTCTAAATGCTAGCAAAATCATCCGCACTACCAAAAGATAAAAGACACCATTACTCTGTAAGTGTCTGTGCTTTTACTGAAAGACTATTTAGACAGTTCTGTATAGCATAAAGGAAACCAGGTATTAGAATGATTTGCTTTTGTTGCAAAATATCATTGTTGCTTTTCCTCCCTTTTCTCTGAAATGAATTTATGATGGCGTCTCCCACTGTCTGATAGATGGGCAGTTTACACTTTATTGCAGTATAGATTTACTCTCATTTCCCTCTATTGATTTTCTGTGAGTTAAAAGGGTGTAGGCAGTTATGTCCTTACTAATCACTGTTTCCATGTACTTTAGGAGAACTCCATATCCTTTAAAAGCTCATAATGCTGCAAACAGAATATCATTGCAATTTGAACTTCTCCCATCCATAGTGATCTCTCTCCAGTAACAACCCACTAGTTTTATGTATTTATTATATAGACATTACATCTTCACATTATTATATTAATTATTTTTTCCTATGAGGCCAAAAATGACTTTTATTTCGTTTTAAAAGCTTTTGTTCTTTTTACACATAATGAGCAGATTATTTTTTGAATTGATGAAATAGTTATGATCAAGCAAACTGTCGCGTACCCCACCTGTTATAATCATTTGTATTACCATTTATATTATATGCCATCTTTATGTCATTTAAATGCCATTATCTGTCATGAGAAACAGCAGGTGCTGTTGAGGTTAGAACAAGCATTCTGAGGGGCTTATCTGCAATGTAAATATCTGTTTTCCTAATATGCTTTGCGCCTTAACCTCCGGCTGATTTCCTTTATGGGAAGCCGGAATAGTGTATCATGTGGTGCATTTCATTCACGATTTCTATCTTTTTCATGTGCCTTCATTACCGACAGCGCTGCCACATGAAAATGAGCTCCCATACCAGATATTGTGCTCTTGTTTGCCCAGTGTGTCCAGAAGCCTGGTGTATCTATCAGGCTCCTCTTTCACCCTATGTGGCACCACAGATCAAGCCAAAGAACTGCGTGTGTTCGGAGGGCTGCTCTGCTATATGTTGAATTGTACTTCAGTTTAATCTACAGTTGCTGACACACTGCATCTTAAATAATGAAATTTACTTTCACATCCTAACTGCTGTTAGGATGACAGAATAATAAGGTGTCCACTAATCATGGGAAAATATCGTTTCATCCAGTTTTTTATTGCACTCATTACATTAGTGAACGTTCCCTCGTTTCTATTATGCAGAGGCCAAAGTTAATGTCTGCAGCTGTGCTGTGCATTTTCTCCATGTAATGCACATTTATATTTGCTCATTTTGAAGAAGGTTGTTCTGCCTATCAGCCTGCAGATGGCTTTTGCTCCTCAGTGGGCTGAAGTGCCCACACTGCGCAGGCTGCCGGTGTGTAGACACTGGCCCCATGTAGCGTCGTGCGCTGTGTCTGTAGCACCTGTGTCTCAAGGTGAGGCTGTTGGGAAACGTGCTTGTCTGGTCCATCTCAAAGGGACAATGTTAGTGGTGGAGCCCATGAGGTACTGGATTTTTCAGAGGTGAAATGTGAAGCTGGCAAGGGACTCCACATTGGCCTGATCCAGTGAGATCCTTTTGAAGGTGGACTCTACATAAAAACAACAGGACACTGTGGTGCCACTGCTGTTCCAGAACTTGTGGTTCTTCTGTGGGGAAAGGGGCAGAATCAGCACCTGGACCCACAATCTCCCAAGCACCTCGGCACAGGACAGGTGGAATTGAGATGGAACTGAGCTGTTTTTGTGTGCTTAATTAATTTTACTGCATGATCACCATCTGTTGCCTCCTTTGAGGAACTTTTGAGAAACCAGAGGCAGCTGAACTGGGTGTTTAAATCCCATTTGGCGCTTCCTATAGACAGTCACAACATGCCTTTTTTGTGGTGGTTTATTTTTTGAGAGAGCTATATTGGGCTGGAAACAGAGACACGCAGGAGGATAAAACAAAGATGTGTTTTTAGCCTTTTCACATATCACAACATGATAAAAGGACAATCCCACTTTAGAAAATAAATATGTGAGAGTCCCCTTGGCATCTGGTATAAAAGGTCAAATAGTGTGAATCATGCAAACAAAAGGAAATACAAATCTTGGCATTCTTTTTCTCGGTTTATTATTAATTTATTGTAGCAGTCATTAACTCACCAGTTAGTCAAAGTACTGTAGATCCATTAGCATATAAGATCAGTTACAAATAATAGAAGGCCACTTTTGTCCCTGTTTCATGTTTCACTGTTGGTTCTGAAGAAACCCACTTCTGAAGAAGCCTATGAGGATTTTGAATACACGTAACAGTTCCCCTCATAACCTTTTCTATTCAAGACTAAATAGGTTCAATTATTCTATCCTGTCAGTTTAGGACATTCCCTTAAGTCCCAGAATATATCTTATTGCTCTTTTCTGTACTGCTTCCAGAACAGCAATATCTCTTCTATAATGTAGTGACCCAAACTGTGCGCAGTATTCAAAGTGAAACCTAACTGTTACATTGAAAAACATGACATCCCTTAATTTGAATTCTACACTTTTAACTTAATTAGAAAAGGAAGACCCTCAAAGGTTAATTTGGAAGGGGAATGGAGGCTATTGATCCATCCTATTTAACAGATACTGTAGGCCTTGATTTCATTTCTTTTGCATGTTAACATTGGTGTCGTTGGGCCGTTTTCTCCCGGCCGGCTGCTTGGGTGTTTAACCTGCGATTAGAGAAGCCCAGCTCCCAGTGCTTTCATTGAAGAGCAGCAGCCCGGCCTTCTAATTAAATGAGAATGCTGCCGGAGTCGATCGGAACAGGCCCAGGGAATTAGAACATATGGCAAGGACAGGGGACAGTGGCTTATCCGTAGGCTAATGACCCTCTGTGTTTGGAAAGGAAAAGATCCATTTGAGTTTCACCCCAAACACAGGCTTAAAGCGCTTTAAAAGTTAGTGACTTGAGACCATTTTTCAGCTAAAAAAATCCAATCTGCCTGCTCATTAGTTCTTAATGAAGCACTAAAATAAAGCTGATAGATGCTAAATCTCTATCGTCTACGAAAATGGGAGCTTTAAGCCAACACTAAATAAAGAGAAGAAAATGTCATTTTTCATACCAATGCTTCGTTTCCATTTAATTTAATTTTCATTTCACCTTTTCTTTTAAAGGTTTATTTTATCAGATTTCAACTGAACAGAAAACCCAGAATGACTTTGGATTTTCATGTGAGTTTTTGCGTTTTATGTTCCTTTTTGTTTCATAGTTACTATTTTTTATGTTACGTTTGTATTCATACTCTTTTCACCTGGTCTTCTTTCCTGCCCTTGGATTTTATTTTCTGGGATTGATTACTACATCAGTGAGCTTAAATTCAGTACCTCTAACATTGATATTATATTCTTTCAAGTTTCCTAAAGACAACTTGTACTGGTGTTCCAACAACAAAATTTTGTTGCCTTTTCTTCTTCCACCAGCTGAAAGGTGACAAATTTAATGGGAGCGTGTGCTCACTGGTTCTTGAGCTGTTGTTATATATCATTGCATCCAATTCCTTCAGTTTGCATTGCTTGGGTTTTGCAATTTAATTATGTTCAAAGAGAGATATATTAATCTGAGTTATACATTTTAATGTGTTTGTATTTAGCAGCTTCAAAGCACACTAGTAAGATATGCCTCTTTTGGGATATCAGTGAAGTATCTGAAAAACATAGCAAATACATATTCTGGTCTATAATTTTTGCTCTTCAAGAGTCAGTACTGGAAGCTTGCTTATCAACTAAGATGTAAATTCTTCCAGTTCTTATACCATAATATAACCTGACCCTTGTGCTCACAGAGATCCAAACAACAGCCTGGCTGAGTACTATAATTCATGAGTCTTGTCAGTTGTGCTGTACCTCTCTCTCCCAATGTATTTAGACAATGGCTCAGATTGAAACTGGTAGATTGACGATTTAAAGTGACCAGTATCCACCATTACCATCACTAAAAACAGAAGACCACACAAGTGAAGACGAATCAGGACTTCAAAATGATGAAGGAATGACTTTTCGGTAGCTAGTAGTCTTGTGAGCGGCACCTTGGTACGGCGATGGTAAAACTCTGCAGTGACCCCTGCTAGGATTTTTCTCATTACTACTGGGCATTGATATTCACCTGCAAATGAACATCCATAAATATGATTGGGACAGTGACATGCACTGTAATTTAAAAAATCAAGTCACCGTATAATTTTGTTTACCTGACTTGTTAAACATATAAAATCAAACCACAGCAATTGCAATATGTTGGACAAGGACATATTGTCAGTAATGACTTTGTGCTGGTGTAAGCCTACCATGCAGTGTGGGTATTTTAAAACAGTTGAAAGAAGAACATAGAGCCTCAAGCAGAACAGCACATAGAGCTATTCCAAAGTTGGGCACTGGCCTTCTTTATGAGATGTAGATGATGGGATTGTAGGTCAGCACACTATTGGAGCTGGGAGAGCCCACAGCCATGAAGAGATCGGTCTTCTATTACTGTTATGGTAAAAAAGCCACAATGTTTTTTTTTACATTTTAACCTAAACTTATCTCAAAAGTTGATTGAACTTGCCTAGTGTGGTCAAAGGCAGTCTTGTTAACTGCATATTTGGATGTTTGTTAGAAACAAATCTCCTCAATGTCTTAGAGGTCTGTGGTTAGCCAAGGGAAATTAATAGGGCTCATTAAGCCCTAAGACATCCAATCAAAGCCCTCTCAACACTGTCAGTTGGCGTTCACTGTCCACACAGTCTCAGCGGCACTGGTCTAAAGCTCCCTGACTCCTGAGACTCATCCCTGCTGTGCCCAGTCCACTATGCACCAGCTCCACTGGTCTAGAGCTCAATCCCCGACTCCAGGGGCTTCTACCTGAAGGTGGAAAAGACAGCACAGCTGATGTGTTCGTGAACAAGTCTCTCAGAGTTCTCAGGTTGGTCAATAGCAGTGATTTCCACATACAAGAAACCCATCCTGGCTCGCTGCAGGTGGTGGAAGTCATGCAGGTAATCGACAGATGTTTTTCTGTACCAGCACAGGGACTTGCTTCATGAATTACTGCCGGTTTGATTACGAGACAAATAGATCAATGGGATAAATTGGACCTGATCTCAAGCCTTTTTCCTTGCCAGAGTCTAAAATACAAGTTACTGCGTACTTTTGTCAGAATCAATCGATCTCTTTCACTGAGTGTAGTTCATCCAGTGTCACTGTTTAAATACCTTTCAGTGTAAATAGCCTGTAAGTTACAAGCTGTGTATTTAAGGTCAAAACTGCCTTGCACTGTACTTGTTTGCAGCAGTGTCCTATCTCTAATTCCTGAATCTTATCTGATGAAGCTCTGTAGAGCAAAGCAGCTCAAGATAAACTGTTCCTTTTCCCAAATGTACAGCAGCATCAGAGATTAAAACATGAAATTGGTTTGCTGGTTAGTCGCTTCTGACCTGATTCCTGACCTTGCTTGTGATTATGACTATCTGTGATGCATGCTGTAGGACAGGGCAGAGTTATTTAAATACCAGAATGGGATTATACTGATAACGCTGACAGGGGGCTCACAAGTATTTCAACCACAATAAAAGCTGCTACATGGTGCTCAGACTGAGTCTTTTAGCCCTGTATGTGGGAGATCACTGGTTCCACTCTAGGCACTGTCATTAGCAAGAGGTAGTACATAAACAGATTAAGTTAGTCAGGCTTTGCTTTACTTAAAAGGTAGCAGTGACCTCCAAAGTGTTCTCTTTGTTCCACAAGATGTGTGCAGGTTGCATCACCTGTGCTGATATGAGGGCTGTGGCAGTGAGCCTGACTTGTTTAAAAACTTGTAACTCCAAAGATGTTGTGTTTTTGAAGAAAAACTGGCCATTCCAGAATAGATCTAAAAAGACCTGAGTGAACATCCCACATTGAAAGGTGTTTTTTCATTAGTTACTTTACAACTGCGATTTTTTTTAAATAAGCAGTTAGTAATGCAAACTGTTTTGAGAGATGTCAAACACAATGAGGTACTTTGCATAGATAAAGATAAAATAGTCATAAATGGCTATTCAAGAGCAAAGAAGAGAGGAAAAACACATTGAAATTGCATTCCGTAGGTTGCATTTCACTCTCTGGGTCACAGCATGCTTTCCTGGAGATTATTTAAAGGGATCATGAAATTAAAGTGGAGTTTGGTTTGTCCTTTTAAACTACCAAGTGCCTTAGGTGAAATCCGCCTGACAGCAGTGTGCTTGTTACCTGAACTTCCAGACTCAGAGCAATGTAGGTGTCATGTGTCACTGTGCATGTCAAGGCTGCTGGGAAGGGAATTCACCTGTTCCATCTCCTTGTGGACTGTCCTGGAAAAGCAGTACTGGGCAATAAACACCCCTGACTTCAGAAGGCAATGACTTAATTGTTGTTGGAAGAAAACAGCACTAGAAGTAATAGATATCTAAACTGCGTAGAGTTTGTTTTGAACACGGTTGTGGTATACTGTAGTGGATGGATGGGTGGATGGGAGACGCAATCAGGTCTCAGGCTCAGCTAAGACAACCGGTAACACAGGCAATCTGTGCTGTCCTGGGACCCCACTGACACGGCATCACTGTAGCAGGTCTCGGTGAGACATTGAGCCAGCACTGTAGGGCTGGTGTCTGGATATCATAATCAAAGGAAGACAAAGTGGCTTGCATGTCATACTGGCCAATAAGCGGTATCTTGTGTGAGTTATTATAAATAAATCGAATCTCCCCGTGAATTCCCTCACACAATAACGGATCCACAGTGTTTAAGGATTTACAGATCATTATAATATGTTTTGCTCAGGAGCTTTTCCCTTTATTTTCAATACAAGAGTTACAGACAGCACTGACACAGGCACTGTAAGGCCATTACAAAAATCTAGTGAGCAGAAAGACTGTGTAATGACAGAATCAGAGAGTGAAGTGTTTAACAGCTTCTGAACTAAAAGCAGTGATTCAAAGTAAAGCACTTTTTGATGTATTTCACTGTTGTTTGAGTTCTCTGTTCTTTTACTGTAAATTAAAAAAGGTATTTTTTTTGCGTCATGTTATTTATTTTGGTTATGCTTTAGGCTCATTCTAATTTGTGTTTTCTGAAATCTAAATGAGGTCTTTAAAATTACATTGGTTACAGATTATCTGTGTTGTTGGGTCTCATGCTTTGGGTCTCATTCTGTTTTTTTCTGAAGAGTTGTGAAAGTTGGTGGCAAATCTCCTGTGCTGCCTTTGAGGCTGTGGTGTATGAATATGACAGGCGTGCAACATCTGATTTGTTGTTCACGATCAAATACAACATTTCCTATTCTGAATCCCTATACGCCTGGAGTGAAAATCCCTAGATTATTTGTTTCTTATAGTGTCACTCCTGTCAACAAATGTGCAGTGAGATGTATTAACAAGATGGGTATTAAAGTGCTCTGTACCAAACTCAGATTGAAGAACACCTTTTTATCCGTAAATAAGCTGCATAGAAAACCTGATGTTTAAATCACAAGAGAGACCTCATGCTGCAGGAGCGTATCAGCCTGTCTGCTGCTTTTATGTTGTCTTTGGTTCATTTTACACTCGGCAGTTATTGTTAGAAATACCTGCTATCAGTAATTGCCATCAATTAATGGTCAGAAATGGCTCTGATGTATACATCTTGATTTATTTAATCAGGAGCCTCCATCTCTGGTCCTGGGAGTAAGAGTCTTCTCGTTTCTGATTCAGTCCAGCTTTCAGTTACAGTACTTAATTGAAGCACTTATTCACTTAAAGGGCTACTAAACACTGTATCATAAAACACCAGATACCAACACTGACCACTCCAGTGCCTTAGTAGTATTTATATTCTGCACCATTCGTTTCACCATCTGGATTGCATTCTTTAAAGTACTTTTAATGATTAAAATATAAAAGGTTGGAAGCCAAGAGACTGCACATAAATTTAAGTCTGTGTCAAGCAGTACGAGAGGCTTCAGTTTTCGGAGCCTGCAGACCTGCCCTCTGGTCACAGGCCTCACTCAATGGTTATGCAGAGCTGGGACTGTAAGTAGAGTAGTTCTTGTTCTTACAGTTCTGAGATACAGCGCTTCATAGCCTACTAAGGTTAAAGTGACCTTTAGCCACAAATTTAAGAGGTTTGCAGCATAGAAGCTGAAGGCTAAGGATTGGAGTCTGCTAATGAACACAATAAAAACCCAAAGACTCTCTGGAATAATGAAAGCAATCTTGTTCGCTGTGTTAAATGAGGATGTTTTTCTACTAACAGTTTCTACGAGTGAAAATCATTACCTGGAGCTGTTAAGCTACACTCATATTGCCTCCTATATTGAATTCTGACAGTTCTCATTACTATTATAATTACTTTCCATGCTAATTAACTTCCAGCATGCACCTTAGCCACAGCTTCCCTGGTCAGCCTTGTCACATGACAGGGCATCCTGAGCACCTCTGTAGCTGGACTGCACCATCATCTTTTAACCAGAATCTTTGCAATGCAAGTGCTTTTTTTGTGAGTTGCTTTACATTTTTTAAGCAAGTCAAATTAAATAGTAAGAACTCCTCAGGATGACATTAAAAAGATGATATACTGTACGACACCTTAATGCATCATTGTTTTAAAAATAAACATCTTTGTGCAACAAAGTGACTCAGACAATGCTGATCTCTGCTTGGCACAGTGTGGAGGGATCTCCGGTTCTGGGATTAGTGGGTTATCTGAGCTGACCGTAACTGGGAACGTCCTAAGGAACAAGCACATTTGGCCTGGTGCAACCTGAGCTGAACATCTAAAGATTCCTTACATCTCTAGGACCAGGATTGGAAACCCCAGCTGTCACTGCATTAGTCGTGTTCTTCAGGATACTTCTGGCATCAATTATTTCCTTCAACTAGTGACACTGTGTTACATTTGCAAGAGGAATTATTGAAGACCAGCATTGGTTATGACATTAATTGTCCATGTGGATTTAACTTAGTTTCAGTAATTCCAGTCTTGTCTAGTACACTTTCACAACCTTAGAGTGCATAGAGTGTTATTCAGCTTGTCAGCACATTATATATTGCTGTTAACCAACATCAGCACTTTGCAGTGTTGAAACTTGTACAGTGTAAAAAGCAAATGAAGAGACTTGGGCTTATTCTAAAGTTTGGAAACCTGAAAACATCTCAACCGTCAAGTGAGATCAGTTCAAGGATTCATTTTCCACACAGAATCGGCTTTTCCGTAGCAGAAATCAAAGGCAGGTTTCAAAAGGCTCTAATTGTCGTTGCTTAATATAACAAAGCCTTTGGTGCAAGTGGCAGATCAGAGGCAGTGCATCTGAACTGGTAGAATTGCCTTCACACATGTTTTGTTTTTACAAATAGTTGACGGGGTTATATGAAGGACATCACGACAGTTTCGTCTTTTTGTTCATTCAGTTCTGCAACGTTGGTACAGCTGGCTTCTTCACGTTATCTCCCACCAGAACGGATGTGTGTAGGATGTTCCAGGAATGCAGTGGGTTAAGAAGGTTGAGTTGATCCAATGAAAGAAAAAGACAGTATTATTAGAATAGCGCCTTACTGATGGCACCTGCAAACCTCTTTTTCATAACATCACTCCTTCTTTAATGGTCTTGTGATTTGCATCTGATGGGCAAACCATCATATAATCTCAGCTTCTAATTGATTGTTCAACATATTGGTAACGTGTACATATTTGCAATGTTTTAATACCTGACTTCTGTTTGAATTCATATTCAAAGCACATGAATTATCGGATTTATTTCATATTTGTTTGCATTATCTGTTGGCTTTGATGAGAAATAATTTCTGGCACCTGATGGTGGTCCCAGAATTAAAAAAAACATTAAAATATGAAATGCTAAAAGTACAGCCACAGGAATTTCTGTATTGTATTTTAAGAAAGCTCTGGCTCTCAGTCTGAAGGAACCAGGGCACATAAGTTTGGTGACCTCTACATCTGTAGTGCAGAACTGTGTGAAAGGAATTGGTCTGAAGCAATACCTTTGAGATTCTAACCATTGATGAGTGTGACATCATTGCCATTACGATAACAAGTGTGACATCTGTGCAATTACGACAACAAGTGAGACATCAGTGCCATTATGACAAAGTTCTCAAACAATACTTTCATGTTACTTTGAGCATCCCGATTATTTGAAGATGAAGTGATACCAACATACATGGTAAGCAATTGGATGCGCAGGGTTGAAGTGGAAATAAAATCTTAAATCTTCTCCTCATAGGCTCATAAGGAGCCTATACTAAACAGTCTCATTATGTTTTCACCTTCCCTTGCCAATGATATTGATCCTGAATGGTCACTTTTAATGTTATAGCGACAAAACTGAAATGTGATGGTTACTTTTGAGATATGGTCTTCCTAGGTGCCTACAATCATTCTTGAACTAATGTGGCCTCCTCTGTCCTTCATATCTCCAGCTGCCCCAAGCACAGATGATGTTGCCCTTTATGTTGGCATTGTCATTGCTGTGATCATGTGCCTGGTGATTTCGGTGATAGTGGCGCTGTTTGTTTACCGCAAAAACCACCGAGACTTTGATTCGGACATCATCGACTCTTCGGCTTTAAATGGAGGATTCCAGCCTGTCAATATCAAGACTGCTAGAACAGGTAAGAAAGGACTCTTCTTCTACAAAACTGTTCTTTCCTGATGATATAAGAAAGATTGGAGATTTAGGAAGGTCATATTGTTTGTGCTTTTTGTTTAATTGCAAATGTCCTAAGAGTCCTGTGGAAACACAACTGCTTTCCTTTCCCAGTTTCACAGGCACAGGTGTTTTTACATACTGTACCTATTTTTATAACCAGATCCAGGCAGTTCCTGCATTTTCTCTTCAGTTCATATTTAACAGGGATGTGCAGATCACCTGCTTCTTTCCCCACCTTGTCAGATAAACACTTTTCATATTTTCAGTTTTCACTGCTGTCAGGGGTCACTCCTTGTTAAAACAGAGTTTTATAGCCCCAAGTTTGCTTCACAGAAACCCAGTGAATTTCTGTGCAAAGGGCTCGGAATGCTAGAGGCAGGTATTTTGTGCTTTGAGAGTTTGTATGAGGTTATCGAAGCAAGGAGACCTGTTCTTCTCCTAAGTCACACAGTTTGGAAGGAAAATAAAACAGCAAGCAAAAGAAAAATGCAATTTCATTGCCCATTACGACACTAAAGTCAAATTACTTGAAGAAAAAAAATGTCAGATTAGAGCTCAAACAGTCTTTATTAATCATGAATGGTTTCCCTCAGGTAAAGAAGGCGTACTTTGTATTAGGTAAAAAAATGTTATATGTATTTATAGTATTTTTATTTTTCATGTTCCCTCCAGAGACTTTCCTGCACTGGCCTTTGGAAGACGCACATACACAATTATTTGTTAAATAAGACTGAAAATGAAAGCCAAGTGTGAAATAGATGTAATTTATGCCTGACTCCCAGACTGGTCTTGGTGGCATTTCAGGCAGCCATGCATTCGAATGCACGTCACCCAGACATTGCATTCTCTTGTGAGGAAAGTCTCGGGTTACTATTTAAATAATTATGTTTTATTATTGCGGCTGAGCTCACTGCTAATTAAATTTTAGCTGTATGAGCACATTTCAGAGCTACCAGGCAACAGCAGCTCCCACGTCAGAAAACCATCTGAATGATTCTGTGTGGAACAGCACAAAATGTCCGGAAACAGTAAACTAGAGATTGACTCCATTTGTACCATGTGTTCTGTGGAAAAAGTAGTTCAGATCCTCAATTTCTAATTACCTTAGCTAAAAATGGACTGGATACCTGCTGTGAAACTAAAATACCTCAGTTCCAGTGACGTAAGTCCTGCATTTAGAACTGTTGCTACCCAGCCTCTCTGGGAAGCCCTCATAGTTATACAGTATATAATGTGCAGACATTATTCCTGGGGGTGGTGCTCAGAACCATTTAATTGCTTCAGAAATGAAACACTCTGCACATGTGTCTGGTGGTTTAGTGAGTCAACCAGGCATGATGCCAGAGCATGAAGGAGAACACTTGTGATGCCACTAGCGTCTTTAAGCAATTGACCAGCTTGGCCAACAGTAGCACCAGGCAAAACCCACATCCTTCATGGTGATCTGTGTTTCTGTTGTCTGTTCCTTGGCCTGTCATCGTTCAGAGTGCGAACAATGACAGGCTAAACTGTAACTGTTCTGCCAGCTAATGGGGTGTCCAGTTTTTGACATCCATTTTCATGTTATCCATATTCAGCACTAAATCACTCAAATTGTGATTTCAGCACACAAATCCTGGAACACATTTGCTGTTGAACTGAGAATTAATGATCTTCATGATATTCAATTAATTGGCTCATATCCTGGCCACTTTAGAATAATTGTGATGAATAATGTCAAGTTTGAAGTTCAATAGCACTCTGTGTGCTTTCAACACCCACTCAGCAGAATTTTATTTTTTTCTAAGCATTCATCTGTACACCCTTTAGAGATAAACTTATTAAAAAATAAGTACTTCATGCATTTATCCCCATGCCAGTTGGTATCTGAATCAAACTGAATGTATCCCCATGCCACTTGGTATCTGAATCAAATTAAAAATTCACAAAATTCAGAAAGGAGAGGACTTGGAGCTGTGATTTCAGTAAGGCCAGATTAAGAGGATTCTGTGTGGGCAGCTGTAGACAAGGCTAGTCTTCAAGTCCACAAGTTTCAGGAGAGATTGAGAAGGTTGTTTTTTTAAGCATTCTCTGGCTGTTTTAATATTATGTTACTAAAGCAGAAAACTAGGCCAAGAGTGGGCTCAGCTGAAGCCTAGCTCAGTGTGTGTGTTCTATGTTCTGGTGTTGCCGAGAGGTTGGGAACTAATGCAGAACGCCCTCCACTGCTGGGAATCACATTCTCACACCCTGCTGTCTCCTGCCCCCCTAGCGGACCTGCTGACTGTCCCTCCTGACCTAACGTCCGCGGCCGCCATGTACCGCGGGCCCGTCTACGCCCTGCACGACGTCTCCGACAAGATCCCCATGACCAACTCCCCTCTGCTGGACCCCCTGCCCAACCTGAAGATCAAAGTGTACAACTCCTCGGGCCTGGTCACCCCACAGGAGGACCTCTCCGACTTCTCCTCCAAGCTGTCGCCCAAGGTCACGCAGTCCCTGCTGGACAATGAGACCATGAACCTGCGCAACCAGAGCCTCGCCCGGCAGCGCGACCCCTCCTGCACGGCCGTCGGCTCCTTCAACTCCATGGGTGGCCACCTCATCATCCCAAACTCAGGTGCGTGGGAAGACCAGAGCTACCAGAGGGCTCTCCCTCGGCTGCAAAGTCCGGGACATCCTTTTCACAACTGTTTAGCCAGTCAAGAGAAAAACAGAAAGGCTGGTTTGTTGCTGTCTGCAGACAGCCCATCTAATTAATTAACAGTGAACACAGCAGATAATAAGCACCATAATGTACTAATTCAGGTGGGTAGCTGCGTCAGCATGCGTAGGCTGCAAAGGAACAAGTAATAGGTTTATTCCATGCTGAAAAAAAGAAGAAAGAGAACACAACGTTTCGGCCGTGGAGCCTTCTTCAGGTGTGAGAGAGACAGGGCAGTAGGCAAAGGTAAAGTAGCGGGAGAACAAAGGTTGAGAGGGAGGAGGAGTGAGAGGCGGGAGCAATGTACTAATTACAGGTTTCGGGTTCTCTGCTCCATAACCATGTCACCCACTATTTAACTTAAAAAGGGAGAAGCCTAAGAAATAGAAAAGCAAAAAAGGGGTCAGTTCACTACAAAATATGTTGAGACTGTGACGGACCTGAAGCTGAGAAAGGGGTGTAGGTTACAGTGAACTCTGCACCTTCCGCAGAGGAAGTGTCGAGTGCAGTACATTCTGTACATGGATGCTTGACTGCTTGTGCAGCATTGTACCAGATTTGCACAGAGAGAATCAACTGTATTTATACCCTGCTGTATTGTGAGTGGAAAATGTTCTCTAAGTTATTGAGGCTCCAGGGAAAAGTAGATCATGTTCCACTCCCATTTATTTCTTTGAGTGCTACCGCTCTTCTCCAGATTCAGGCACATCTAAAGATGATAGTGTGTTTTTGCTCTCTCACGTAGCTAAAGCAGTGTAACCTTAAAACCGTGTGATCATAAATCATATATACATGAGAGTGTGATCAATTCCCTGTTATTTTTTCGTTAATGGAAACTAATGCCTCTTTTCCGCTGCTGGCTCTACCCTGTGTCCTCAGCTTTTCCCAAGTGTAGGCAGTGTCCTTGTCCTGTGGCTACATGGCTCAGAGGCTTTGTGGGGTACAGTGCTGTGTTTTTTTTTAAAGCCCGTGGTAGAAAAAAAAACTTCCCCCAGTAAGAGATGCCAAGAGATTGGTTTAAGAGTTTTTTACTCTGCAGCTTTTACATTTAAATGTTTAAAGCTCCTATACCTATGCATTTGGTCTAGTTCCAGCTCCCCTGGGAGCAGAAACCCCAAATCATGATATAAATTAAATGGAGCTTACGAAATGCATTTGCAATATTTTCACATGCGTTTTCTGCTAAAATATACCATCTAAAATGAAATGTTTGTGTTGCAATGCAGCAGTTTTTCTTCAAACTTAAAAACACTCATATTAAACTTTGCATTCCTATTCCAGATAATTTTTTACAGTGGAGCAAGTACAGTATGTCTACCCTTGACTGCTTTTAAATATAATTGTACGCGGCTTATCATGGTGTCTTTTAGAAACTGACAAAGTAAAACATAAATTACTTACAACCGATGTAAAACAACAATAGACACTATCTGGTTTAAGAGCTGAACAATATGGAGTTTATGCCCAATATATTTTAAGCATTAGTATACACCAATATCTTCTAACATACAATAAATCGTAACCGCTGTTTAATAGTAGATATGTTAGAAATATTTCCAAATTAATATAAATTCCAGATCAGATTCATGAGGCAATTTTAAAATTCTGCTTGCTGCTCTAAGCCTGTAAGCACTGACTTTATCAATGTCTTATTTAGTCAGATTATACTTGAGATTTAGGCTGTTAATGAACTACGTGTAGAATACCAGGAGCTCAGTACAGCTTCAGCACTCCTTAAGTTAGTGTTTATAATGCCGTGTCATACATAACAACCTGACACATAAATTCCCATTACAGGAAATTGTACTAATGTGTTAAATAGGGCTGACTTTATCACACTGAGCATTGCAACTGAGCAGCACGCAGAGGAGCCACATTCTGGAGCAGATGACTGGTGTAGTTGCATTTACAGAAATTGAACTTCTACCCCCTCATGAAAGTCTACTTCCTTGAGCAAATTGCTTAGAATGGAGAAGAATGCTGAAGTCGTGCCCAAGTCCAAAGTCATCCTCATCTTTTTTGCTATTGTTTAATGGGAAGGGGTTAAGGGGAATAATGCATGTAAATCAGGAAGCAGCAGAATCTGAAATACATACACACTGTGTGTTTTCAAGGAATCAATCACCAAGAGTGTTGTTATAGCCTTAGCAAGTATTAAAAAGCTTGACAGGTACGTTAGCTTCTGGGTACATTCTTTTTTCCAAAAAGTGTGCTGAGATCTAAATGAGAACAGGTTGTTTCACTTTTCTCCCTTTTCCAGTATCCTGACCATTGCAGTCTTACTGTAGTTTGAGAGCAGATCAGTGGATTGCAGGAGGCTACCGGTGACTTTGCCTCAGAAATCCATTAATGTATGTAGAATTAGGTTTTAGATATTTTTAAAAACATTACTTTTAAAATTAAGCTTTTGCATCTCGTTCTCTAACCATTAGGCATTCCAGGTCTACCTTTAGATGTAGTAGAGTATGTATCATGTACAGCAGTTTAATGAGTGCTGTAATCTTAAATGCCAAGAATAGAAACTAGTGTGGTAAAGGTAATAATGTTTCATGATAAATGACCAAATGATGACATTAAAGGTACTGCTCTGCATATGTAATACTGTATTTGGAATGAGTACGCAGTTCAGGTTCGAATTTGAAAGGAAATTGTTCTAGTACTCCCATTGTTGGAAAATGTATTTCGAGCACATTTATTATTAAACGTCACCCTTTATTTGTGCAGCAGACAAGCTCAGATTCCCATCAAGCTGCAGCACATCGCTGCACAGCGCTTGAGATCTAGAAATGACTATTAGTCCCTGAGGGAGGGAATTAAATTGACTGCAAACAATGCTTAAAACCTTCACTGGCCTCTGGTACCGGTTTTTCAAGCGGTGCTGTTGGTGTACAGAGGGATCAGGCGTTGCAATGTGGGTGCAGGTGTGTGGCAGTGTTGCCCTGCACTGTGAACATGGGATGAGAGGGCTGTGCCACAGGTTTACAAGCATGGATTTTTTGGAGAAGTTGAACAAAAAGAAAAAGTCTCCAGAGAAGAATGGAGGAGTGGAACTGAGATTGAAAAGATTTGCACTCCTGAGAGGATTTACATTGTGACACAAAACTTCAGAGAGATGAGGCAAAGCAGAGTTCAGTACCTACATTTGTACCTGTGTACGTACAGACAACCACACTGTCTTAGGCTGAAGTTGAAACACGTGTGACCCCTAAACCCACCACATAGAATCTGCTGAACAGTGAATCCCCAGAGGAGCACTTGTGCACCCTGATGCTCCTCTGGTTCAAAGTTTAGCCTAGTTTTCTTAAAACATTGAGTACTTTTCAAAATCCTTCCAGGAGTATTTGGTGCAGTTAATTTCTGGAGACATTTTTTTTTTTAAAGACAGTGTCTGGGAAATAATGAATTAATTTGTTTTTCTTCACTCTCCTGAAATGCGTCTCAAAGTCAGCATTTCAATTTCGCTTTAATTGCCCTGTTTCGGTTTCACAGCTACAGCTCGACACCACAGCGCTTGAAAATAAATGTCATCTTTTGAAATATTCAGCACAAGGACATGAAAAATCAATGTGTTCTCTCGAATGCCACAGTAAGCTAGGAGACGGCCAGTGCCTGCCTTTTTAATGCAAAAATATATTTTAATTCTTTTTAAAAAGTGCATATCTCATTTTTCATGTTTGACTCATCTAAACAAGATCTGCGCAAAGGGCATGGGATGCAGGAAGACATTAATTTCTGAAACTGGCTGCCGTTTTGTTTGCCTGGTTGAGAGTCGTTCTGCGTTTTTGTGTTCTAGTGCCAGTGTGCTTTTCTCTCCTGCAGGGGTGAGCTTGCTGGTGCCAGCAGGGGCGATTCCCCAGGGACGAGTGTATGAAATGTATGTGACAGTTCATAGAAAAGACAACATGAGGTAGGTGCCCTGCTAGCATACCACAAAAGAGAATAATGTAAATGGAGCTAGTTTGCAGCTTATACTCAGCATAATAGGGACAGGGGGAGTGAAATAGAAAACACTTGTGAACCTTATTTTAAAACGCTTCTGAATGTGTGACAGAATGAAATAAAAATGCCACCCCCCTACCAATTTCCCCTGTGGTTTTTACAGTTTTCCAAATTTGGCACTTTCCCACATTTCCCAGCAAAGCTTCAGAAAATGAAGCAGAAAGTGAGGGAGTACTTACAGACCAGCAGGGGTGAAGGGTGAATTTGAATTGAGACAGAAATAGGCTTACAACTTTTGTATGGAGATGATTATAGTATTAATTTTCCCTGGGATTTGTAGTAGAATTAGTATGTGTACCCAAAGAAAACATTTAGCTCCTTATTTAAATCATTGCTTTGCTAAATCATAAAGCAAGTCCAGCCCAAGATAGAAACTCGTTTACTCCAGCAAACCAGACTGGCCAGTCCGGACTGCCAGGCAGAGTGTAACGCACAGAGACAGGCTCCGGCCCTGCCTGCCTGTGTGGCAGGAGGGGAACTCAGCAGTGCCACTGTCCTTGTCCAGGCCGCCCATGGAGGACGTGCAGACTGCGCTCAGCCCCGTGGTGAGCTGTGGGCCACTGGGGGCCCTGCTGACCCGCCCGGTCATCCTGACCATGCACCACTGCGCGGAGGCCAACACTGAGGACTGGCAGGTCCAGCTGAAGAACCAATCGCAGCAAGGCCAGTGGGAGGTGAGCGGTCAACCCGTCCCAGGGTCTGGAATTTCCTGAATTCCTCCTTTCACATCCCTGATTTATGTGGAACACATTTTCCTAACAATCAAAAAACTCCCACTGTACACAGCCAGACTCTCTTCCCTGCCATCTGTCAACTGTTTTTTTTTTCATTTTAAACCAAAGTAGTGCTTTTATTTTAAATCTGTTAATTTTCCATCTCTAACATCTATCTACTGCTAATTTGTGCTTATTTACAATACAGATTATCAACTTGTATAAAAACACATATTTTGGGTTATGAGTGAGAGGGGAGGATGGCATTTAGCATTTACATTGAATAATTATTGTATGCGCAGATAGTAAACACATTTCTGCACTTTTGTTTGGTAGCATTTATGGAAAGGATGTTGCTGCTTTACTTATATATAGCACTTCACTTTCACTTTCACTTTCTGCATTACCAGCTTCACTGCCAGTCTGGCATGCTTACTGTAGTTGTTGCTTTTCAGCTATCTTTTTTGGTTGATACGGTGTTAGGTATTAAGAACTAAGCCTCAAAAGAAGCAATGTCTGCTATAAGCATTTTCCTTCTTTCGTAATCTATCGTTGTGTCTGTCATTTAATCTTGTGTTGTACATGTACCTTCCACTTCAGCAGCACATGAGAACTCATAGCGTCCCCATCGTCACGTCTTTGACTCCTGAGCTTAAAATGAATAGTATATTCGCATAAGTGTGATGAATGGGAGGTGGCTGTGACTGCAAGTCCTGGAGCCGAGACACAGCAGGGAGTTATGTTAATTTTGAGAATAAGAAATGAAACGGGAGACAAAAAAGTGGAAAAAAAACAAGAAAAGTCAACTTTCTTATGAAAGAGAAAACAAACCTGCTGTGCGAGTTTGGGTAAAGAGAAGGCCAGTATCCTAATTAGGACTCTGCAGATTATTGAAAGGAATTATTATAAAGAAATTTGACATACCTGTCTCTCTTAAATATCAAATTGTTTTTTTTCTTTGCCACTGTTTCTGTGTTTCTGATTGCAGGAGTCTTAATTAAATGTGTAGGGATTTGTAGGAATGATGAAATTTACCTCCAGCATGACTCCAAAAATTCTCTGGTGCATTACTGTTTTGCACTTAAATCACTTAAAAAGGAAAAGCAGGGCTGTGTAGTGCCTTGTAATGTTGAAGTCTGTTCCAAGACCACTGAGGTAGAATCTTATACTTGGTGACTAAAGAAATCCACCCCTGATTTGATGAGTGTTCACAATCTCAGTTTCTCAAATCTCAGAAGTTTCATGTCAAATTATTTCCAGATTATTTCCAGGCAAACAATAGGCCAGTTTCAGAAACAGCGCAGCACAAAGAGATGATAGGCCAGTGATGACACACTGGCATCTGAATAGCACAGTGAAATAGATGCACTGCCTGTTCATTTTATTCTTCTTGTCATTTTAAGTAACCCTCTCACAGGTCAGTTCAGGGGCAGAGTACCAGGGCAGCAGGGCCACAGGTTAGCGTCAGAGAGGGTCTTGCCTATTGTATTCAGAAAATATTCTGGCTGCCATTGCACCAGGGTACATCTTTGTCAGTAGGTGTGAGGGACAAATGTAAGGTGGCCACCTACTTATTACTGATCACTACAAGCTACACTGCTAGACTACCAAATGGAATAGCATTGTTTTATAAAACTTTTCTAGTTTTCAAAGTACCAATTGCAAAATGTTCAATTGGCCGCGAGAGCTGTGAGCCTTACTAATCAAAAAACCATTAGGATAACAGCATTGTCCTTCTGAGGAGTTTCTCTTATAGTCTAGAAGATGTTTTTTCCATGTGTAAAGTGCACACTGTAATATGCTTTGATTGCAACACATATTTATTCCGTCTCCTGAAGCCCATTTCACAGCGAGGAAATGCCAACTCACAAATGTGAGCCTGCCAGACGGGGGACCTGGAAACTGGAAACCTGCTTCAGAGCAGAGGTGTCCCACTGACATCCCACTGAGATCCAGTGGGGGGGTTGCCTAACTATGGCTGCACCTCCTCTGTGGAGCCTCATGCATGAAATAAAAATGATTTCAAGAGATTAGTAGCCGAGGGATCGTGCTGCTGCCCCTGCGTCTGAGGTTGGATTATACCCCTTCACCTGTCGTAGCCTTTTGCTCCTTACTGGCCCTGAACAAATGACAGATCTGTGTACACAGTTCACAGTCTGCTTGTTTAAAATCTGTACACAGAAAAAGCACCAAAGGAGTCTTAAAGTCTAACCCTTCTGCATTCATGCTGTATTTTTAGATACTTAATGACAGCGTGTGACCCAGTTAATATTGAAAATAATACTACAGTAATAGTGTCAATGGATATTCATTTATATGTAAATAAGACAGATGAAAAGAAAAAGCAGGCAGCAAGTATTTATTTTTTTAGTTATTAACCTGTAAAGAAATGTTACTAGGAGCCCTGCAGAAAATAAAAAAGAGAAGTCTTAGATTTGGAATTTTCTTTAAAGTTGTTTTCTGCAGTCAAACAAACTTGCAGACATACATGAAAGAGCAACACTTCAGTTTGACAATAACTATATTTAGTCATTTATCTCAGCATACAAGGCAGCTGTAATTTTATGTTTTGCCTGCACTGAAAGATACTGTAATTCAGTCTTTTATTCTCATAGGCTCTTCTTTATAATCCCTTGAAGAAGTCATCCCCCCTGCAGAGAGGCCCTCAATCTTAAGCAGTCAATCAGGAATTGTCTACGCTGCGGTTGAAAATAATTCACACTTATACCATCAATTTGCTGTATCCTTGTGCCCCGGAACTCCGTTGCATTCTGTAGTGTCAATGATTTTAAAAAGATGTTTGAAAAGTCTTAACACTGACCTCTAGTGGTAAAACATCAAAATAAAGCTCTTTTTTCTCTTGGCGACTAATCCACCTGCCTTCACTTGTGTTATAGTTAAGATGCAGGGTTGGAAGGATATCAGGGAATTTGAGGTCAACTCTCAATCGTTCTGAGAATCTTTCTGAGACATAGACTATGGTGCTAATGTACACCTGCACTAAAAAGTTAACAGTGGACCTTCTTCCACAAGTAATACCCTGGTGAAGCAGAGATTACCGAAAACCCTGTTAGCTAAGATAAGAATAAACATACCTGGTGCTTGACAGTATTGTAGCCAGGTGCCTGGCAAGATCCACCGGTCAGAGAAGTTGAATGGAGAAACAGAGCATGTCAGAGGACAATCACTAAGGACCTGCCAGATCACAGCTGTGATGGGAAACGATGAAGTGAATAAAGATAAAGATCCACCTCTGATCTTACTTTCTACAGAGGCCAGTCAAAGGAATAGTGTTCTTCCTGTATTTCATTTTAGCACAAACTGACACAGGATATACAGTAGATGACACCAGTAAATGTAATAAAACACTTGGCACCTTTTCAGCACAAATAAAAACAAATTTTGTTTTGTGTCCATGTGTGTGTTTTAACAAGAGGTTTGGTACTAAGGAACAAAATAAATATAGCCAACAAATAAGACATTGCATTAGACAATTTCTCCCATTATTCCTGCTATAGTGGTTTCAGCCTCTCTTCAGAGATATTAAGAGACACTAATAACCAATCATAATGCTACTGTACAATGACCAGACTAAAGTGTTTTAATTCCTTTTGCTTGTGTTACAGGGAAAATTAATGACATCTCTTGGCTTATGCAGACATACGGATTATAAATAATGAAGCAGTACAACTAACAGGGAAAAGCATCACAGCTTGAATCTGTACAGAAGAGCACAGATAAAAAAGAATACATTTCATATGATTGCAATTTATATGGCCATCATCCATTGGCAGTTCCTCTGGATGCGGCTTAACCCAGCACTTCTACTGCAAAGATGTTCAATGACCTGAGGCAGGCAGATGTCCATCCATCCATTATTCCTGGTGGAACTGGAGCCAGGGTCCAGTGCCTGGAGCCCAGAGCTGGGGCATCTCAGAAGCACAGAACACAGGGCAAGACAGAATCTTGGACAGGACACCTGTCCATCGTGTGGTGATGACACTAGATTACACTATAGGAGGACCAATTGAAAAATTTACAAATAAAGCAAGGAAATAAATATACTATACCTTAATAATATTTAAGATGTTTCCTGGTGCCAGTGAAAATGCGTTTGATCAGTAGAACCTGTGGTTTGTGGGTGTCAGTCCCTGGCCTTCTGCAGACCCTGAGCCGCTGACGCTGTGTGTTTCCACAGGACGTGGTGGTCGTCGGGGAGGAAAACTTCACCACCCCCTGCTACATCCACATGGACATGGAGGCATGTCACATCCTCACCGAGACCCTCAGCACCTACTGCCTGGTGGGCCAGTCCATCAGCAAAGCGGCTGCCAAGCGGCTCAAGCTGGCCATCTTCGGCCCCATCACCTGCAGCAGTCTGGAGTACCACATCCGCGTCTACTGCCTGGACGACACTCAGGACGCCCTCAAGGTAGCGCGGGCGGAATTGTGCACTCGCCTTGGCTAATTAAATTAAACTGGGTTCATCTGCCATCTGAACGATAACATTCAGAGGCAGCTAGTACATCCTGATGCATATGCAAATAAAAACAAATTAGACAGAACATGAACACTGTTTTATAGAGCAACAATTATGAGACCAGGCATTCTCCTAATTCTTATTTTTAAATTAAATACAGTGGTCATGAGACAATTGCTGGACTGGATCTGGATTCAGTCTCGACATCCTATAGAAAAGGCTGTCATTTGCAAAGATCTGGGTGAGGCGAGTTTGTGCGTTGTGTTGTAGAGCCTCCATCACCCACCGTCTCATTTCCCGAGCTGAGCTCTTGATGGCAGCTGCTATCTCCAGCCTCTTCATCAGGGAGCAGAGACAGCGGAGTCCTGTCATGATCACAGGGTGACAGTGGCACTGTGAGGGGGCAGAGTAGGGAACAGAACAAGCTGTGGCTTGTCAAGGGGGAAGAGGCACACTGAGTCTGCCACTGAGACTAAGCATTGCCTTGTTTACTATACGGAGAATGATTTGATGAAATCATGCTGTGTTATTTTTTCTTCTGCTTTTTATAGTTGTTGATAAACAAGTTTCAAGCTCTTTGACACCTTCAAGTCAAGTACTATTGACTGGCATGTCTGACAGCTGTTGCTTGCCAGGTTGCTGCATGTAGACAGCAAGATCAATTACGCTCTGTCGTCACATACCCTGGATGTAGAATATACAGTGTTCTTTAGTATTTAACAGTTCTATTAAACCCAACTTTAGAAGCAGAGAAAGACGAGTCACATCAAGATGTGCAACTAAGTAAAATGTTATTACAGTAAATGAGCATATTAAAAAGAGCAGTCTTTTTGTAAGGGCAAGATTTGTAACACAACAAACACTGTGGAAAGCAGACATAAATACACATGCTATACTTTATATCTGATGACTTGCAGTCATTGGCTGTGTGTTGCAACTCTTGCAGACTCATAATACTGGCTTGTTATGGGAATCAGCTCAATACAATAGGATTGTAGAATATATGCATTTACTACTTAAACCGACCTGTAACAATTATAAAATGGATTCATTAACATTTCACACATACAGACCTGTAAGAATACACTGTACAAAAAATAGGCTTTATTGGTGTGGTGGTGACCTTTTAGGGTCCACCTGAGTTCTGTTGGTACTTAGGAAATCCCCTTTCACTGTCCAGTCACTCTTAGTTGTAGTACTTCTCACGTCTCATGTTTGGGAGTCCTTGTGCTTTTGCCACAAGGGGGTGCTGTTTGGAATGGAATTACAGTATTATATCAAGTGAGGACAGTAATAGCAATGTGTCAGGGGACACGTATGTGGTTGTATATGTCTGCATGTGGGAGAGAAAGGCTCAAGTATCAGGAGTGCAAATGACGATTTAAACAGGCTGTTTGGCATGTGATTAGGCGGTGCAATCAGCAAGGAAAAGAGCATTTTAATTTTTTCCCCTTTGTTTTTAGCTTTTGGTTTTCTGTTTCACAACAGCCATGCTGGCTGGTTTTAGCTGGGCGACATCCTCAATTTTTTCAATGCCAAGGCAGGAGGGGGGGAGGAGAGCATGGCCAGGCCAGGAAGAGGGGCATTCGGAGACCCCTGGTAAGACTTGACTCTAACACTGCCGCCCTGGTGTCATGCAGGAGGTTCTACAGATGGAGAAGCAGATGGGTGGAAAGCTTTTGGATGAACCAAAGACTCTTCACTTCAAGGACAGCACCCATAACCTCCGGCTGTCCATTCATGACATCCCACATTCCCTCTGGAAGAGCAAGCTTCTGGCCAAGTATCAGGTAGCGTCACAAACCAGCCACCCCCAGGGCAAGTGGCGTGGGTCACACAGGAACAGGAGGCAGGCACTGAGTGATTCCAGTCAAGCGAGAAAAGACCAGCTGAGTCTTTGCTTCATGTTGTACCAAAAACTAAAGTTTGGAATGACTGCCACTCTCTCAAGAAGATAAAACAAGTATTCAGTACTTATGTAATATACACTCAGATAGGCATTTTTACATTGCAATAGCACCTTGACATACTTCATTTCCTTACGTTATTTCAAGTTGTGCGGTATTGTATATAACAGTTAAAGTTTGTTCTGCTCTTTAGTGATCTGTATTGGTGGAAGACAAGAACTTGGTTCTAACCCACCTGGGCTTCTACTCTACCCGACTGCCAGGGCCATCTTTAGGAAAGATGTAAACAGGGCTCTCTGTTGATTAATTTGCTGTGGTTTTTAATTTGTTGTGGTTTTCATCTGATATTTTTGAAGAGAAACACAAATGATAAAAAAGGAATTTGTATTTCTAACTGTATTCCGAAATAAAAAATGCCCTTGTGTGTTAAATAGATTGTCAGTCTTCAGTCTTTAACATTTTTTTTCTTCCAATTAGACACTGGAAGAAGCCTAACAAGCCTGAGCAGTATGTGTGTAGATATTAATGTCTCTAATTACCTACTCTTGTCTGCAGATTAGCTAGACGAATTCTGAATACTGAATTACATGTTCTGGAGCAGAAGAGGTCTGTCGATAAACACAAGGAAGTGTTTATATTTGAAAAGCGGGATGAATTTCTCTCTCATGTGGGTCTTCTCATCTCTGTGCTCCTAGGAAATTCCATTCTACCAGATCTGGAGCGGATCCCAGCGGAACCAGCACTGCACCTTCACACTGGAGCGGTTCAGCCTGTCCACCGTGGACTTGGCCTGCAAACTGTGCGTCAGGCAGGTGGAAGGAGAGGGGCAGATATTCCAGCTGAACAGCACCTTGTCAGAGGTAAAGAGGCTGACTACCAGAGCCCTAGGTTTCTCCCCAGGGGTGGTTTTCATGGATACTAACTCTTCCTCGGAGTGTACATCTGTGTCTGCTAGCAGTGTAGCATTGTTAGTCCCCTGTAGCTGTTGAACTGATGTTGATGAGTGTAATAGTGGTGACAATAATACTCCTGATAACAGCAATAGCAACTGCTCTACCAATAGTATTGGCATCACTCCCAATATATGAGGGCACACTTAAACATGAGTCTTTGAATTATAACGCTCAATATACTGTAGAACCCGCCAGTGTTTTACTTACTCCTACCCAGGTTCATAGTTCTGCTTTTGATGCCAACAGTTGCTTTTGTATTACTAGGATGACAAGAGTAAAGCAAGATTGAAACTTTAGCAAAAGAAAGCGCTGTGTTATGACCTACAGCCATTTGTAAAGCAGCTTTCATTCTAAGGTTAGAAAGCATACACGCTCAAAAAAAGGCATCCTATAATACAGTATATTCTGTACATACAGTATGAGAAAATAGAGCAAATGACCTCGATACATTTAAATCTTCTTACCACTTGCTCACCTACTGTATATTAGTGAAGACCGACACTGTATAGAGCTAAACAAGCTCATTACATCTTTCAGCTGGTGTCGGTTTCTTTTATCCTGCGGTACTTCACCTGTCTCTGGCGCCGGGCAAGTTCCTCGAGAGAGGAAAGGGGAAGAGGCTGATTCTCTCCCAGACGGCCCCAGTTCACACAGTTGATAAAACAAGTCTCATTCGTTCACGAGGGGTGGCTGTGGTCCGTGTCATTGATTGTGTACTGCCCCGGCGCTTCTGCATGCCAGACTGTTGATACTGCTCACATCGGGAGGCTTTATAGCTCGCTTGCCCAAAGGGGCTAATTAGTAGCTGCTGAAATCTGAAAAACTGCCACAATAGAGACATCTTGGATTTCTTTCATTGACCCAGCAGCCTTCTTTTATTAAGTACAGCCAGCAGTCTTGAAAGTAAAGGCCCCTTCAAAACTTTCCTTCTTTTCGGAACTTGACAGGGGTTAAGTAAGACCATTTAGCATATCTGAATCCGATTTCTTTCATGTGTGTTCTACAGGGGCCCAGAAAGACTCAGCAGTTAGTGTCATTCAAAGGGGAGTATTCAGAGAGATCCACACAGAAAAAACACTATACACACTATCTATCAGCACTGCAGAAGGAGCCTCATCCCAAGCTGTCTGTAGGATGTATTATTAACTGAATGCTCATGCCAAGATGTTATGGTCATCCCGATACAAAATCTGATGAGGGTATGATGAAATACCATCATGTACTGTGTATAGGAGTGTCCAGTTTATTTGTGATGTCCCTTGGTTTTGTGGCAGTATTTGCCATCCTATTGTACAGCACTGAATGATTCATGGATATGCACATCTGTCAGCATCGTACAACTGATCCCATTCCAGCGTATCACCAGTCATGCTTCTGTTATTCTGTAAAATCTGACTCTTGCTCTGTTGGTCTGTAATATGACTGGAAAATAAAAGAGCTCCTACTTGTTCCTTTAAAACCAATTTTTATCAACCCTCAGATAAAAATCAACCATTTTATTGTACAACTTAATCATTTAAATTTGATGTAAGTAGTTTAATAGCAATTTGAATCAAAGTAACATACTGGTATTGGATTCCGGCATAGAAACATTCCTAATGAGACATCTATTATCAAGCAGTGCCTGGAGATTTGAATGAGAAGGAATTGATGCTGAGCCCTCAAGGTGTGGCACTGAAAAGCCCTTCTCAGATTGATTTCACACCAGCAGGGGTCAGACATGCTTTGGAGATGGTGAAACCATTAGATGTCCTTTGAGTCAGTGTGGAAGGCTGATTGCATGTTAATGCGGCACAACAATGTGAAGTGTGTGCCCTTTCATACACCTGCAGCTCCCTTCCATTTCCTATGAGGCCTGGATTGGTCATGTTTGGGCTTTCCCTTCCTTTCCTTCAGAATGACAGCAGGTTCACTCACAAGTAAATGTTAGGGAACTCCAAGATCTGAAGTATGCAGTGTAGTGACATTAGCACAAGGGAAGAGGGATTTGTCTTCATAATCTAAGAAGGATGGCGGGAATCTGAATGTTACATTATTGGAGAAAATGAAGCTGCTGCTGTTTGTTATTTTTCTTATGTTTTGGAGATGTAAAATGTCCTTCTTGTTAGAATTTTTCTTCCTGGTTAAGGAGGGGTTCTGAAACTTTGTAGTTGTTGCAATGGAAATCATCTTATCAGTGAACGCCCTACCTCGACAAAATAAGACACAGAAAACACCATTCTTACTCATTCGGTACAATGTGCATGTTGCTACATGCAGGCCTTTACACAAGAAATGCTGTTCTGTAATCAGTCCAGAGATGAGCGACCAGACACAGTCCCAGGTTTAAATGAATGTCCTGCATTGATGGTCTAAGAGAATGGAATCTCTTTAGTCCTTAACACAGAAGACTGAATGAAGGAGGGCCTGATTTAAGTAATCAAAGTCCTTAAAGCCATGAACAAAGTCAACATGATGAAATTCTTCAGAATCAACAGTGAAATACAAACCAGTGGAAACTATGTGGAAGTGCATTTAAAACTGAGAAGAGGAGACACTTTGCTACACAAAGAATTGTTGGAATCTGGAACAAGTTGCCATGTTAGTAAACTCAATACTTCCTTCTTGAACCAGCTTGATGAACCAGCTTGATGACAGCCTTGGATCAATTAGCTTCCATCAGCCAAATGTGCTAAAAGGGCTGACTGACAGACTCCTGTTGTTTGTAACCTTATGTTCTAAGATTACCCTCCTTAGAATCATGTTTTATTATCCAGAAACACATTACATCTATGCCTGTTGGTTTGGATTTGCAGTATGCTTTTACAGTGCATTTTAAATGCAATTGCACAGGGATAATTATATCTAAAACACTCTGAATTGGCTGCAGGATGTCTGTTTAAAGTGAGAGGAAAATTGCAATGTTTTTCCATCAGAACCTGGGGTCTAAGTGTTCAGTTTGGGTCACAGCTGGTTAAATAATGAATGAGCCAACATTCTGAAAGAATAAGTGGGTGCAGTGATGGCACAGGGAACAGCTCTCAAGGAGCACTGTAATCTGTTAAAGAAAAAAATGAAAGGTAATGGAAAAACACAAACTTGACCACATGCTTCCCATCTCTGGGATGTAAATTCTAACAGAATCAGTGCAGAGGAGTCACACATTCCAATTAATGTGTTTTGTGTTGTATAAAAAAAAGTTGATGAGCCACTGTAATGAGGTGTGTTTTATTTAGGAAACGTGGAAAGTTTCATCTCATCTCATTATGGCTACCAATGAAAATGTTCAGCATCAAACTAGAGTCAATCAAGATGGAACTATCAAACCTAACAGGGTCAAACTACAGTAAAATTGACAATATCCTTACCAGTATCCACTACAGTGATTGTGCACAATACAGTACATGCATTATGGAGACTAGAATAGGATATTCAGTTCTGAAAATGTAGAGATTAGGGCTTAACAGGACGCAATTTAGGAAGGTGGAGATAGATACCTTGACCATCTTACCATCTAACTGCCTGTTCCACTGTTGTGAGAGGTCATCCTATTTATTTAAAAATTAATAAAATTGATTTTTTAAAATGGATTGAAAAAGCAGGCCAGTCCCTTTATTTGTATCAGCAGTCCAGCCCATTGTCGTGTAGCAGAGCCTTGGTTACCACACTGCTCCTCAGACTGAACTGCACGCTTGTTAAGAAAGGTCTCACTTGACATTAAAGAGGTCCACAGATTGTTTTACTCAAAATGATTGATTCCAGTACTTGGTGCTTCTGATTGCAGGACACTCAGAGCATTGACACATCCCTCATGGACCCAGCCAGCAATATAACAACTCTTGTAGGACCAAATGCTTTCCGAATCCCCCTCTCCATCCGGCAGAAGCTGTGTGGCAGTCTGGACGCCCCACAGACCAGAGGCAATGACTGGAGGATGCTGGCGCATAAGCTGAATTTGGACAGGTAAGGCCAGTACACAAAGACCACTGGAGTGCTGCAGGGGAAGAGGGGGTGGCGATGATTAAGGCTTGGGTTCCTAGTCTGACTGGATGGAAATCAACAGACATTTGCCATGACTATATGGATCTGTTCAGAATTTGGCAGTTATTACAAAGGCAAACTGCTATTGTTGCAAGTCTGAGTTCTCTTCTGCGTCTTAGCAGGTGCACAGCCTCTGCAGCAGTGTCCTTGCAGAATCAGGGTTCTTCTCAGTCTCTTTTTACAGTTTTAAAATCCCAGTGGTACCACTAACCACCCCCTCAAAAGAAGAAGCAAGAGCAGGCACGGGAATTTCTTGTGACCAGCTTCAGAGTTAGTGAGGAGGTGATTTTTGAATTTCACAAAGGGTGCTGCCTGTATTCAACATGTCAGAGATCTAGCCATTTTCATTTTTTTTCCAGAAAAAAACAAATCCTTCCAAGCAGCTCCAATTCACAGGGAGGACATATTTTAACATGGAGACGGTAGCAATGGAAAAAAAAAAGGCAGGGGTGGGTCCTCGATCTGTTTAGCTGCAGTGCGAAAAGAGACCAAACTGGTTTTCAGCTATTGAGCTCACATCTCAGCAGGGGCCGCTTTTATCGGTGGCAGCAGTTGTGTCTCTCAGCTCAGAGCTGTGCTGACAGGCAGACAGGCGGGTGGGAGGCTGGGCTGCGTCCATCTTATTCTCGTCCCCTCTGGGTTGCGCCACAAAGCAAGCAAGATGGAGGAGAGCTAGCCGAAAAAGATTTGCTTAAATCAAGAGAGAACTAATGTTTATATGCAGTTATGGTGACTGCATGAATTTTCTTGATAGGATTGATTGCCCTTAGCTCCAGGACTACAATTTGTTTTTATTTTTCATTCATTGCTCTGTTGCTCTCATTTACATTTTATCCCCACTACCCATGGACAGTTTTGAACGGTCACTTCAAACATCACCTTGTGGCCTGCCTCTGTGTTTTCGCACACGATGAGGTGATGAGAGTGGCCTTATTGCAATCCCAGGGGCTCTTCTTATCTGGCCGAGTGTCACACTAGGTAGTGCAGTGCCCTAGTGAGGGGAAACAGCTCCAGCACATCACTGGTGCCTACGTGGTCACTGGGATCTCCGACAAGGACCTGAGAGCTACTCAAGTTATAGAGTCCTGGGAGAACAGTGGTTAGTATTCTTAACAGTGAACTATTATTTCTGCAAAGAAGTAATAAAAACCCCCAAGAATGACACTTACTGTTCCCATGTCCACAATGTGTCTTTATGGCGAGATGCAGGGCATCTACACAACATATTAAAGCTTATTGAGCAAACCAGTGTGGACTCAATAGCACCCCCAAATACTGGTAAAGAACACTAATGCACTGGGAATATGTACACAATTTTTTAAATGTTTAAAATGCAGTTGCTTTACAACTTCCAACCAGTTCATCACCAAATGAAAATATTTTATTCCTTCTAGGTACCTGAATTACTTTGCTACCAAGTCCAGCCCTACTGGTGTCATTCTGGATCTCTGGGAGGCACAGCACTTTCCTGATGGGAACTTGAGCACGCTGGCAGCTGTCCTGGAGGAAATGGGCAGGCACGAGACGGTGGTCTCCCTGGCAACAGAACACTGACAGTGGCTGGAGAACTTGCGAGAAGATGACAACATGGCAGAAAACACACAAACACTCATGGATCCCCACCAGTCATTTCTTCTTAAAAAAATAACAAAAGGTCTTTCATTTTTTTGAGAAAGATCCTCTCTATGAGCTTATGAAATTCAAATCATGTGCTATCTGTGATTTTGAGCTACAAAAAAACTGAGGATATTCTTGTTAGCCTGGGCTGTACATTCCTTGGTACAGATAATTTTTTTGGTTGATTTGGTTCTTTATACAGTTTCCTAGGGAACGGTTTATTCTGCTATCCATATATGTGGATGAACTTTCCTAATCCCGATTCCTAGTGCATTTATGCTCTTCGCTGTGGAAGTGTGTAAAGAAACAGAACTTGTGGTATAATCCTGACATGCTTCCCAGCTTCCAAGTCTGAAGGATAACCAAATACGGCATTTAAAGTCTCCTGCGCCTCATTCTTCATGTTCCATTAACCTGAAATTACATCTGTACGCAATACGTTTATAAAAAAAAAATCACATTTATTTATATATTTTCTTTCATTGTTAAAAGTATTTTTATGCTACGTTATATCATGGTTGTATTTTCATTGCTCCTTATACCGTATTTTCTTATTTGCTGTTGCCACCTAGTGGCACAATGGAAGAACAGCTACAGATAATAGACTTGTTCACTCTGTGACTACAAGATCCATTAGTGACCTGTAAATATATATACCAGTTCAATGCAGTATCTGTAAACTTTTTACTATTATTCTTATTATAATTATTTTTTTCTTGATTACTGATTTATAAACAATTTGAAAAGTCACAATTTGTTAACCCAGACTTTTATAGTTGTCTGTTTTACAGTATTTTGAGCTAAACAAAAGTGAACCATCACTATCAATAAAGACGAGCCTACAAAATTATTGTGCATCTAGAACACTATCAGCGGCCACTTTAAGACAATACCTGGGTAGATGGCTCAGGAAAAAACACCTTGCACACTGTGGCCAGACAGAATTAATGGTTACCCAATGTATGAATTATCTTGCAATAAGTAAAAGTTTTTAGTTTTTCTTAGAATTTCAAAATTAGACTACTTTTCTAAGAACCCTTCTCTATTTATAACCATTTCTGAAGATATGCAAGCAGAACGATTCAACAAAAAAGCAACACTTGCAAGAGTTAAATCTAAGAATTTAACTGACTTTTTGCAAGACTGGTTTAACAATTAATCTGAGCTTTTAGGTTTCTTTTGCTGGAAGATTCGAGGCCCTTGTGATTTAGAGTCAAAAAGGTTGGGGAACAGCAAGAATAGGTTAGTGTCAGAAATCATACAATCAAACACTTATTCGTCATTGAAGAAGAGACTAGACAGTTAAAAGAGAGCAAGCAGTTGTAAGCCTATAAGAAAGCTTACAAAGGAGAGGGAGGGCATTGGTAGTAGTTAATTGATCCCAGGATCTCATCCAACTTTTCTTGAAAGAAGCCAGGGTATCGAGTTCAACCACATGGCTGGGTAGCTTGCAACAGACTCCCACAACCCTAACTATTACAATATTAACTAATGTATTACAATAGGAGCTAGGTTTTTCTTGTTGTATTGAAATGATTGAAGGGCTCTAAACATAGTCTTTCATACAGTTATTTGAATTTCAGGATGAGGTTTATTCACAAATGGTGTACAGTTGCTATATGTGCTTGAACATACAGAAGAGGAAAGTATGCATCAGTGTTCCTACAGAACTTTCCAGAGGATTTCAAAACCTAACACTCTTCAAAAACACATAGATAGTAGGCTCTGTGCACATCACCCAAGTTGCCATTTTTACAAAATTTTAAAAGCAGTACTTTTAATACACCAAGACATCAAATAAGATGATCGCTAAATGTCCAACGGCATTCGCCTTCTTTGAGATGACTGTGATTAGCCGATTGTCTTTACGTCTCGGTAGTCAGACGTCTTGACTTGGAGGTGAAGCCACTGTCAAGGGAAGAGACCACGTTTCTGTACCAGCATTGTTTCTGGACTATTGGAATAGATATAAGTGCACTCACTAGCCAAAATAATAGGACTACCTTCCCATAAAATGAACAGGATGTGTCAGTGTCAAATAACACAAAGGCAGGAAACCGACTTCCTTCACCTTCCTGGACCTTAACTCACAGACTACAGCTGTACCACAAACCACACACTATGCTGGGATATGCAGTTCAATCGCACACACCATTGAATCCTTAGCACAGCATCTGAACCACACACATCTGTTCATAACAATTAGGGTTTGGTACTGCAATCCTGTTTTATACAGATCAAAGAGAAACCAAGAGCCTCTTAGTTTCAGATTCAGAGTATTTCTTTGCAGCCATCTAGCAACAATCATCACACATCATTCGAAGGACAAATGTGTTTATTTTGGATTTTTTCTTATGCCGCTACGCCTGTTGTTATTGGTCTATTTGGCAACAGATGTTGTACCTGCTTGAGTTGTATGTTTAAACACTCACATCTGGCAAAATGCATGTGGCTCAACACCGAGACTGAAAAATACACTAAAGGGAAACCGAAAACAGACAAAACATTTGGCGTATTTTTTAGATAATGATGTAAATGAGTTATGATGTACAGAGGTCTAATTTCAGACATTTGACCATTTCAATTTCAATATATTTAACTATAGTACAAGTTACCTGTTTGGAAGTTAAGTTTTTTTTGTTATTTTTCCCTCTTGTAATAGCTGGCTGATTTTCAAAAGCTGTGTCTACTATGCAAACTTGGCATCCTTTATAAAATGTACTAACAGAAAAGTGCTAGCAATTGCATTCTTTTTACTTTTTCAGTATAGTGATGGTGTGGGTCACTTCCTCTGGCACGCTTCAGAACTCAGTTTCTTGCAAATGCTTGCATCTCTTCTGTCAAGTCTATGTACAAAGTGTAAGAAAGAATTTTTAAACAAGTAATAAATTATATTTATAAGCAACACCTGAATACAGTTTGCACCACGCTGTGATGCTTTCTTTTTCAAATCTTGCAGACGTCTTCCTTTCCCTCCACGATCAGATCCAGGCGGAAGAGAGAAACCCCCTTCCCCTCATACCATGTTCAACCCAATGGCTGTACACTATCAGTTATACTCCAAGTAATTTCAGGAACACTTGTTGCAAAAACAAAATGCTCCAATATAATTGGACAATATTTCATTTGGATTCACTAATCAACCATTTCAAAGCCCATTTACTGGTTACCATTATGACTTGTCCCAGTTGAAACAACAGCATTTAGAAAACCATTTTTCAGCCTTGGAACACTTGGAAAAAAAAGTCGCCTACTGACCTTCTACAGACCAAACAGGTGAAACGGATTTTAGCTGAACACATTTTCCTAAATTCTTTATAACATGGAGCAAAATAAACGCAAGCTTCTGGCTTTCTGCTTCCTTTCCATTCACTTCACACTTCCCCACTGTCATCAACCAGCTTCTCTGCTCCGATTCACCACCACGGCCAGTCAGCTTAGTGTCGCTCCAGTACTGCCTTGTGGTAATACAGACTACAAGCGGAACACGGCCCACCACTCACAACCTCCCCGACACCATCCACACATCCCACACAAAGACAACACTTCCGACAAGCACTGTGCACCACAGGCCCTTTCAGAGTGGCGCCTAGATTAACGATCCTAATAAATCAATTTCATGAAGCAAACCACCTGGAAGAAATTAATTCCCAACACAGTTCTCGGATGCAGTATTCCCCTGAATAACACCAAGCAGCGTCTGGGAAACAGAACTGCACGATGCCACATTCCAGATTCACCTGTTGGTGAAGGGTTAGTGATTTGGTTTAAAATGGGCTCTTTAAAAAAATGGGCTCTCGGCATTTAATCAAGATTTAGAGCAGATAATGTATTATAATCTGAATTTGATTATTTTCACTAAATAATAAAATTTTCTCTAAATAAATTTACACTAATTTTTCCCCAAATAACCCCTCTTTGTAGCATGTATTTCCTTGTTTATATTCATTCCAAGTAGGAATGTTGTTCTATTTTTTCTAAATGATGCAAATGTGTTAATTTAAGCACATAAGAGGAACAATTTATCTGAAGATTTATGATGATTTTTAATCAATAAAGCTCGACATGATTTCTAGTCTTTAAGGCCTAAATACCTTGTTGCATGTATTAGAAATAATGGAGGTTAGCTGATGAATTTAAGAAAACGTGTTAGACTAAAGTATACTGTACCTCGCTGCTTGAGATGTAAATGTAATTTATCACATAATCCCTAGGTCTATTCCCAGTACAGGTTATGAAACTGGCTTAAAAAGATTAAATTCCTCCAGAGCAGAAAAATGGGAAAAAATGACTATTTTGGTGTTTTACAGAAAACACATAACGCTTTACCAAAAGAAAATCTTATTCACACAGTCTGTTTAGAGCAAAAGAATGGACAGTGCATGTCTATTCAGGTAGGCAGTTTCAATCTGAAGTTGCTGCATTGGAAGACCAGTGCAGAAAAATGAGAATAACACTTGTGATACCCGACAAATACAGACTGTACAGGAGAAGCAAAAAAGAGCATGTCTGAGCACCAGCCTACAGCGAGCCAGAGTAAATTAGATAAGGCACATAAGTTTGAAAATAAGATGAAGAAGAGAGAGAATACAAGAGCTCAGGTATTTGAGAAGACATACTGTACACCAGAACTCACAGAGTGAAACACCAATATCAGCACCCTGAACGTGTATGAGCAGGAAAATATGTGCTTCGATATCACACTGCAATAATGAGGATGAACACTAGGGGGTGAGAAAACAAACCAAGGTCACGATATGATACGAATCTTGAGACACAAGTCATGAATATGTTTCACTAAACATTTTCAAGCTTTCATAGCCAAGTGGAAACAAGTATTTACACATCCCATGTTGCAGACGTGCGCAGCAGAATCAACCCCGTTGCCGACACGACGGGTACCTTGCCTTGCGATTCAAACAAGCAGGAATTCTGGTCACCCCAGCACAAGACATGCGTGAAAACCTGTAGCACCAAAATATTCCAAGTGTACACAGATTGATAATTTGATGGGAAACGACGGCATTGAATGTCATAATTGCAAAAGGCTTATCGTCATTATTTTATAGTAAACCTCACGAAACCTTTCCGTATATTACGATGAAGTGTCGTGAAAATTGTGTACGAAGTCTGGAATCTTTTATTTAACTTAAATTTTAAGTACATCTTATGCGTTTTTCACATAACCGTTTTAGGATGTCCCATTTGGCTGTGACCCATAAAATTTACCTTCTGGGGCTCTCCGAGATCATAGTTGGCTACGCTTAACCTAAAAGATAACATCAGTAATAAACTGACTAGACGAAAGGCCAACATTCTCCTTTACGATTGCTTTTTTTTAATGTAAGGGGAGGACGCTTCGAAATACTACAAACGGGGCAATTCAGTCCTATACTTCAAGATGGGCTTTCAACATCACCCATCAACAGTTATAATTCTGAAGTGTATGCCTGGTTTTCGCATAAAATCCACCCAAATGCAAAAATAAGCAATCTGCAGTCTCATATATTAAACACAAACCCACCTGAAGTCAGGAGGTCCGTCTCCGGCTCCTCGGAGCAACGTCACAGCTAGGGGGCCGGTGTCGTGTCCAATTCAGTTCCCCATGCGTAATGCGAAAGAGCTTCACAAAACCTCATAATATCGGCAGCTTCTGCCTGTATGTATGTGCTTTTGCTTATTACTATACGGATACTAAATGAGTCCGTTGTTTTTGTTTATATTGGTTTCTCGGTGTATTTCATACGAATTATAATAATGTAAAAAAAATACTGCCACCACGTGCATGAAAGCATATCTTTACACACGATAGGGGAAGCCGAAAGAAAGCTCACAAATCCTATGCTCATCTTTTGTCCTTATATGTTACATATAAATCATTGTATATGTTGAAGATACTCGGAGGGGGGTAGAGAATTGAGTACAACTCCGAAAGCAGCGCGCTCCCCAGAACTGGCTCGTTCATACGACTTGGGACAGCAAACCGTAACAAGGACTCCAGAACATATACCTTTGATTAACAGGAAAAAAACAAACACGGTTTAAGCGCTTATGCAGGAAAAAAGGACATAACTTTCCCTGAAACTTGCTATTCCTTTTTTTTTTTATTTTCCCGCGGTGCGGATTTAAACACAATATCAGTTCTTCCTTTTTCTGGAAAACCTGCCCCTCCCCTACATACTGTAGGCAGCCGTCCTCCGTTTTCTTAAAGGGCCAAGAGTAATTGAAAAATCATTTGCTATATGCAAGGTTTAAGACATATTAGGATGAGAAGAGCTACAGGCATATAAGAAATTAATCGACAACAGGTTTTCAGAAAATGTTGAATATCAATTACCATGTAAATTAAGATGCTACTAGCAATTAAACTTTGAGTTCAAAATTGGATTTATGAATGCAGAGAGAAAAAAGTCACCTTTTATCATACCTCTTCAGACGACAATAGTCTTTACAGTGGATTTCAAGGGTATAGCTTCCCCATACAACAAACAAGGCCTCAGTCTCCACATTCATCACTTCCAAGGGTCAACACTGTAGTAAAAGTGTAGGAAGGTGGGCCAAAGTCAAAAGATAGAAATAAGCACACTGACAAAAAAGACACTCAGACAATGATACAACAGTACACTAAGCCTAACTGCTTAACACTCGCTATTAAAAAAGACTGAATCGAAGTGTGCTTCAGGGGAGCAACATGCCTTAGCATATACTTGTAAATATCTAACATTTTGCATATCTAACACCACGCTCATTCAAGGCCCCTCAGGACAATTCTGGGTTACTCAGATGGCATCTAGTACCTCCAGCAACCTTATTTACTGTGTCTCTTGCAGTAAATGCCCAGCCATCTATATTGGGGAAACAGGAAGGAGACTCGGAGACCGTTTCAGAGAACATGTTAGGGCTGTGAAGATTAAAGATTTCTTTAAGCCCATTTATTCTCATTTCACCTCTGACAACCACAATCACACTAATATCTCCATTTGTGTTTTTAAAGATGGTTGTTCTAACTCATACATCAGAAAGACTATAGAAACTAAAATTATCCTGCAGCTAGGACCACACCTTCCCCCTTCTCTCAACGACAGACTACTTTTCTTCTAAATTCTATCATTGTGGGTTTCATTTCACAGCTCTCTTCACCTATCCTGACTTCACACCTCCTGATTGGCCTCTCTTTCTGTCCCCTGCTCCCGCCCCTCGCTCCTCCTCTCTCCAAGCCTTTGTTCTCCCACTACATTACCTTTGCTTACTGCCCTGTCTTTCTCACACCTGAAGAAGGCTCCACGGCCGAAACGTTGTGTTTTCTTTCTTCTCTTTTCAACATGGAATAAACCTATTACTTGTTCCTTTGCAGCCTACGCATGCTGATGCAGCTACCCACCTGAACTATACTTGTAAATAACTTGGTTAATTACATTCGCCTATATCCAGGAGCTCACAGCTTGAGCTTGACAAGAGCCAATCATTCCTAGGGTTATGAATATGATCACAACCAAAAACTAGCCGAGATTGCCTGCTTATGTAGCAACAGAAGAGTAAAAAATGCCATGGCAACCTGCCACAGTCCATAATCTTGTTTCTACCAGGCCACATATGTGATACTGAATTCTGTGGGGAGAAAGATGGGTACAGGTTAAACCACTTAAATTTTGACAGAGACTCCTACAGTATATTAACTACCTGTGATTTCAAAATAGAGGTCAGTGATGTTCATCAAGATAACATTTTAACTAGTTGCATCTCAGAAACAATTGCACAGCATATCTCATGAAGTACATTAAGGTTTCAGTAAGGTACCTCACAGCAAAATTGGGAAATAAACCCAAAAGACACAAGAGATCCTAGAGCTTTTGTCTTTTGTACCTTGGACCGCAAAACACAAAATACACAACATAAACCCATCAAGCACTAGCAAGTGTGGTTGGAGACTGAAACCATTTTATTAGGGGAATGTTAACCATGAAACATACATTATTTATAATACATATACAGTCACTCTCATTTACAGCTATATACAGGTTAAATAAGGCACAGAGACCCACAGAAAAGCAGGGATTCTTCATTCTGTACAGAATCGGAAAAAAAAAACATACTTTACATTTTCAAGTCCATAATATTAATATATATTAGAGAACTGAAGATAAGCATTAGCTTCAAGACTTGCAATATTATTTACAAATACAAAAATAACATTATCTGTGAAAACCAAACACCTCATTGTATTAAAATACTTGTTGCCTCCACAAGTTGCCAAAACTGCTAGTGCTGGGGAAAGCACATGCCACTCTGTAGGAATAGTACAGCACCCTCCACTGGCAGGATCCCATCTGCACAACACAGCCTGCTCTACTTTCACCATCTTTCAATCCACACATCTAATAAGGGCTGAGGTGCATTCCGCCTGGGAAATGGGAAATGCCACTGCAGTTTTGGAAATCTTGTTGGATGTAGGGATTAGCTGAGATAAGGAAGATTTCAGAAGCTAAACAAGGCAGGGAAGGGAGACCTCCAAGCAAAACTACGTTGTTTCTGCAAGTATTGTCAGTGAACTTCTTCCCACTGGACCAGAATGTCTAGTGTACACTATTTAGGAAATTCCACTTAAAGGAGGGACTCCCCTCCTCCACCACCAATGTGCAGCGCCCACCTGGATGATGCGATGGCAGCCATAGTGCGCTAGTATGCTCACCACACATCAGCTATCAGTTATCTACAGAGTGATGAAGATAATCAATAGATGGGTATTATCAGAAGGTCTTGATTGGTAAAAGCCAATGGTTAGGATGCTCTTTTCGAGAAATGTTCTAGGATTTTTAATGACCACAGAGAATCAGGACCTTGGTTTTACGTCTCATTCGAAGGATAACGCCTTTTTACAGTATAGTGTCCCTGTCACTATGCAGGGACACTGTACTGTATGTATATAGTGTCCCTGTCACTATACTGGCGCATTAGGACCCACACAGACTGCGGGGAATGCGCCCCCTAATGGCCCCCAGCAGTTAAGTTTTCCAAGGAAGTCTCCCATCCGGGTACTCACACCTGCTTAGCTTCAGTGAGATGTCAGTTGTGAGCTGCAGGGAGATATGGTTGCTGACATATTTCTAATTAATGATCCCATGGCACTGTTCATAAGAGGAGTGGTGTTAATCCTGTTTTCCTGGGTAAATTCCAGACTGGGCTTTTACAATCTGGCCTCCTTACGGGGGCCATTATGAAGTAATATGAATTAGTTAACAAGGTTCCCCTCAAAAGAAAATTACCTGCAGGGTAATACATAGGAGATCCCATGCAGGTGAAGACAATGTATAGAATAGGTGTTATGATAAGGAGGTAATGTTAGGCCATCACCTTGCTCCTCAATCACGAGTGACTTGGAACATGAACAGCTGTTCAGAGGCAGTCAGCACAGGAAGGAGTGTTGTATGTTTTCCAATCCAGTCATTGATGACCAAACTCCATGTCCCGTACTTGTTCATTGAAGGCATTACACCTTTATTTGCAGAACAAAGGGCAAAAACCTGAGCTAGCTGTTTGAGGGTTAACTAGTGAATGAACATCCAAGCAGCTTCTTGACTGCCAGTGGAAAAATAACAGCAGAGAGACAGCTGATTTGCCATGTGGTCAGCACAGTTCAAAACGCAAGGTTCACAGTGAACTGGAAAAAATGGAGATCACCACCAAGGGGAACACGATAGCCAGAAAGCCCCAGAGCTCCTCTAATGATAGCAACCAATTCCATCCATAACACGACAGACATATAGAATGTCAAAGCCATGCCATTTCACACACATATCCATTTCACATGAGATACAATAACTTGGCATAAAGCAGCTTCACTTTGTGTGATACTGAGTTCAGACTCAACGGAGTTGCACATTCCCGGGCAGTTATTGAATGAGTAACATATGTCTGCTGTTTGAGGGATGTTAAGGAGGCCCAAGCTACCCTCTTCTGACATTCTGTTTGGGCATCAGTGACCTACAGTCACAAGGGTCCATGTGATTAACATATGGAATTCATTGTGTCATCATGAATTCAGCATCAATAACATTTCACAGACCCAGTAAAATAAATTACTTTCATTCTTATCTCCTAAGTTTCACCCATTTTTTAAATACATGATTATTTTGTACAGACAGATTTGGAGCTTTCCCTTACTGTTTTGAAAACTCCAGCTTGGCAAATCTGAAAAGGGATTACTCACACACCCAAACACTGTGCTATGGCTGCAGATTGTCAAAACTGTAGATATATTCCTTCTCAGGATCCCATCTGATTTTGAGGATGAGCAAAAAATAAAATACATTTCTGCTTCTCCAGGCACAGTGGTGTCTCTGTTCACCCAGCAGGCACCAGCAATCCAGATATATACCATATGCCCAGAAGCTTCCAGCTGATCAGATGGTTAAAAAGGCTTTCATGGAAAGCAAATTTCAATGATCACTCAACGTCTATGTTTCTGTGGCTTTCAAGCAAATGTATCTGGGTGTTGGTATCACCCACAGGTACAATGTTTTGTTTTTATTTTTTATTGTTTTTCTTCTAAAAAGCAGCACTCCCAAGTGTCCACACCAGCCTGATCTCTGATGCGCAGCCCAGCTGCAGAAGGACTCTGGCCTCCCTGGTTCCTGGCCAGGCCCGTTGAAGGTGGGTTTGTGATGGTGGGGAAAGCAACCGTTTCACACAGGCCTTTCCTCTCACGGTCACAACCGTCTGATCAGAGCTTGATGTCCTGCGACTCGGACATCTTAGCGAGAGTCTTTTTCACTCGCAGGGCGGTGAGGCGCGACGCCGGGTTCTGGGCCCAACACTCTGACATCAGCTTCCCCATCTGTCGCAAGCACTGTGGACAAATGACAGGTACCGTCAGGGCTGCGGCCTGCTGCCTTAATTCTCACACCACAGCAGAGTCGGTCAAAGTAGCAGCAGTCATTGAGAAGGTAAATCCACAAATTTAAAGAAAACCCAAAACTTCATGCACTGTAGGACGGTCTCATTTAAGACTACTCTCAAAAGTCTTTCAGTTTGACAAGATAAATCAAAATTTGTATTGCAAACACAACATATACATACTGGTAGTGTATGCTTAGCTATAAAATTTCCTATTAAAGAAATTCACAGCTTCTATTAACCAACAGCCTAAATTGCAGATTTTTGATTTGATCAAATACGTACGTATTCATTACTGCACTGAGACAAGAAATGGAACAAACACAAAACAGTCAGGACTTAATTCCTATGTCCATGCAAGAAGTCTGTTTTTTTCAATAAACTGGAAATCAGCCCCTCATGGCATCATAACTCCATCAACCCACTTTCTATTTTCCCCTTGTTTTACTTAGTTTCAGTACATGGACAATCTTCAGATCTTCAGATTTTTTACTCTACCTCGTCACTGCTCCATCGGTTGGGAAAGGACGGTCTCAGGCGCTTGATGCACACGACCTCTCTCATGTCTTCATATGAGGGGTCAGTGGGCACCAGGTCATGATAGGGTAACTGGTATTCTTCCACTATACCTGTGATACCAGACAGAACAGGAGCTCTTTATGAGAAAGATCTTGGAACATGTGAAGAGAGACTACAGAGAGGAGAGAAAGCAGAAAGTCAAACTGAAGAGAGAAGAGCAAGCAGAGAGCGAAAGACTGAAGAGAAGAGAGTGAGCAGAGAGACTAAAGAGAGGAGAGAAAATAGAGAAATGGCCTGAACAAATAAGTGCGAGCAGAGAGACAAGCTGAAGAGAGGCGTGTGAGCACGGAGAGAGACTGAAGAGAGGAGAGCAAGCAGATGCAGACTGAAATAAGCATTAAAGTACATAATGGCCTGGCTCACCTCCTGAGACACACCGCCTTGCAATCTCCCACAGGATGAGGCCAAAGCTGTACATGTCTGCCATGATGTAGGACTGGAAGTGGTTCCGGTTCAGGCTTTCATCCAGCACCTCTGGTGGCATGTAGCGCTTGGTGCCCACTCTGGTGTTTGGAGGGATGTCCACTTCGTTGGTATCACTGCAGAGTGACACAGAGTTTCCGTGTAAGGTTAGAAGATAACAACGCATTAAGACTAACAATGTGAATTACACTTCAGTCACATGGTTAAATCATTCTGATTATGCATGCACACAATATACATTTACATCCTAGTTAACTCTTTCCACACACTCAAATGCCAATACTTTATTGTCCACTGCTGTGGAAATTTGTCTTGGGCTTCTCCTACAGAAGTACAAAACACACAAGCAAAATATAATACAAGCATTTGTATAATGCTCTCAAGGTTTCAGCTTTTTATATGTTCTGCCATGGAGCTACCAAACCAAGGGCAAGTATAAATACATGGTACAGTAGGTACAGTACATGGCAGCATTCTGAAAATGGAACAGATCAAAATATGCAGACCTGCAGAATTTAACAAGTATCAGACACTGTTACACATCCTTTAGAATCTAATAAATGCCTTTGAAAGACAAGAATATCTCCTCAACATTTCTTTCAACTTTCCTAACAATAGTGTCCATTAAAAAAATGAATTCAGAGCAAATCAGACTAAAATGTCAACCTTACCTTTCACTGTGATAATGTATTACTTTGGAGATTTTGTATCACAAGTTTTGGAGACTACACTGTATACACTGAAGGACTCTGTATCATTTTAGAATCATTCTCTTTTTCTCTTTTTAAAAGAGAAGAATTCTAGTGCCAATTGCACAGGGGTTGCAGTGCAGCTCCACTGGAGCTTGGACCCATTGCATTATCACAGAACATTTCCAGGCAGGTCTGTGAAGGCATGCACAATATGTAGCCACAGGTTCGAGCAAACGGAGAGATGGAATGGAACAGGTGGATTAATTTTGAAATAACAATCCTTTGCAGTGCAAAGAGCAGCCAACTTCACTTCAACCTGAGAAAAGGCCACTGAAATGCTTGGTAGATTTATTCATGTAAGAAAGACCAGCTCAGCTGGCTTGGAAACAAAGCAATGACTGTTTTCTTGTTCAGGAAACTGCACACTCTGTGTGCTCTTGATTGAAGACTTAGAAATCCTCAACCAGTGTGGGTATCCAGGACCAAGACAAGAGCTGACTAGCACAGAATATGCCATTCACAAGTATTACATCCAGGTGAGGGTCTAAGCCTCTCTAGAAAACAACTCTGTGTGAAGTATACAAGCTGTTTTTTTTGCTGCAGAAGAATGCTCTTACCTTATAAATTTCACAGCCAGCCCCAGGTCAGCTATGCAGCAGGCTCCATTTTTCTTCACCAGGATGTTTTTGCTTTTCAGATCCCGGTGTGCGATGGCGGGCTTTCCTTGGGTGCCGAAAATCTCTGTGTGCAGGTGGCAGAGGCCGCTGACAGACGAGTACGCAAGCCTCAGCATCGCTTTCGTGTCCAAAGTGGTGGACTTCAGATAATCGTACAGGGAGCCATTCTCGTGGTAATCTGTGATCAGGTAAAGCTGCGTCCAGGAGCCAGTGCCTTTGATGTCCGCTGCGATGAAACCTAATTCAACACAGAGTGTAGAAGGTTTTCTGATTAACTGAAATGGCAAAAGTTCTCATTTCAATTACTTGACAGCTTAGAGTCAAGTAGTGAGCATTAATGAGAAGTAGTCAGGGATTATGATGTAGAGTTTAACGATCCAATAAGAGTGTAAACAAGACATCCGATCAATGATTGATATGCGCAGAGGAGGTCATTTTGTTACATGGACATACAGTAGCTTCAAACGCATAGGAGCAGCTGAAATGGGATTGAAGATAATGAACTCAACTGTAGCAGACAGGTTAAATGAGAATGTAGTGGGACCTAGAGGGGTGGCTATACAGAGGGAGAGAGATAAGGGAAAATGATTTTATTGATCATCTTTCTGTGTTGCTGTTTCACAGTATTGGAAAAATACAAGTAGCTTTGTGTCTGATCTGTCCCATTTTGAATACATTTAGATACAAGTGCAGTGTTCTTTCTATGTATTGGCAATGAATCTAGACTATTTCCTCATTTGTGTTGAAGAGGACTGGCACTAAATATACAACAGATAGGACAGTTAACAGAAACACAAAATAATAAATATGATGAAACTGGTAAATGAGAAATGTCCTTTCTCTTCATGGAGACCAAGTTGGGGTATGCGAAAAGATAATTCCTAGTGCAAGAAATTGTAAATGGTTAATAAAGTGATGTTATTATTATTATGTCATTTGTTCTGACAGACTTTGTGTGATTTTCTGTCTGTTTGAAGAAGGAACTCAAGGAGCAGTTCTCTAATGCTCTCTAACACAGCACCACTCTGTACATGGTGTGGGACCGGACTGCAGATCTCAACCACAGGGCAACAAGAACGCTGTATCCCAGTACTGCCTAGGGCGGATGCACATTTGTGTTTTCCTCTCACCTAAAATGTTTTCGTGCCTCATAAGCACAGTCTGGTAGATCTCGGTCTCTCGGAACCAGCTGGCCTCTTCAGTGGTGAAGAACACCTTCACTGCCACCTTCTCCGCTCGCCACTTCCCCATCCACACCTCTCCGTAGCGCCCCTTCCCGATCTGCTTTACCATCTGGATCTGCTTGGCGATGGTCCTTTGCACCTGACAGGCAGGGTTTTTAAACAGGAACGTAAGTGCCAGCGACACTTGCCAGCGAAACAGGGGCAGCTTTCAAACCTTGGGAATTTAGCATTTTCTCAATCAGTTCTACATTTCCTGAGTGTGTCTATGGACACTATCCACTATCTATGGACACTATGAACTACAGTATGAGACGTATGGCCTACTTGAACTACACCCACTGTCTATTCCTGGTTCCTGACTGCAGAGACTCTGAACCTGATCCAGAACCATTGGGTGCAAGATGGGACAGCATCCCAAACTGGACACCATTCCATCTTACAGCACACACACACACAAGCACAGAGGAGCAACTTAGACATCCCAGTTAACCCTGCCAATAAGCATGTGGCCACACTGTCTGTAGCAACACTGCTACATTGCGTGAGTCAAGAGAATTGCTTTAGTTCATAGTGAAAGCCATGTTTCAGCTGGCATTCAGCTGTTTATTTAATGGATTTGTCATTTAAAAAGTCACACATAGAATATAACAGTGCAAAGGCTTACAAACACGCGCATTAAGTTATACAGTAATAAACCTTTACTTATGTTGTTGTTATATTTCTTTTAAATTATAAAAATAAAAATGCTTAATAATATGGATTTATTGAAAAATGTTTAAATGTTTAGAGCTACAGGTAGTGTTGTCCCAATATCAAGGACCACATTTTGCTCCCAACAAAAGGAAGTTCTAATTGGGCTGGAAGTTCTCAGGTCTTACCAGCAGAGGGAGCCCTGAGCCGCTGCCCGAGCTCTGAGATTGCTCGATGAGGTCCTTCAGGGATTCCCCAGCAGGAATGTATGTCTCATCCTGTTCCAGCCCAATGCTGTACCGAGGCCTGGATTCCTGCCTCTTATACCTGAGGGAGAAAGCCTGGGATAAGCAAAGTATACCTCTGTTGTGCACAACTGTATTTTCTTATTCTTATTTTTTCCTTTTTAACACACATCCAAAGACTGAATTGTATCCATTAAGACATTTAAACATGAAAACTAAAAAAATCTTCTTTAATCACATAGAAAATAAAAATCGAATTAAGCAAATACATAATGGTTTAATAGTACTAGCATTACACTCCAGTCCTGCCCTCAAAGAGCCACACTTCATTCTTGAACTAGGAGAAGTACTGGCAAAATAACAAGTGGACAATTACATTGCTTCACTTCACAATGTGCTTGCATTCTGTGTGGAAGACATCTGAAACCCAGGTACTCATACTGTACCTATATCACACATAACTGGGGCTTTCGCGGCCAGTGATCGGTCAGGTCATTGCAGGACTGAAATCCCCTGACTTCCTTTTACTTTTGTGCCACAGATGCAATTTAACTGGAATACTGTCATGAAAGTAGTCTTTCTTTTCAGACTGGTGGAAATGTGAAAAGGTAGGATAAAAGCACCTCTTGATGAAAGCAGGCTTTCTGGAAGATCTGGGCATAAAAATACTGATCTTTTTATTCAGAGAGCTAGGCAGGTGTGAAAGGTTCAGCAAAAGGCCTTTCTTATATACATACTGTAGTGTAGACCACAAACTAAAAGGCAAAATAAAACACATTTAAAACCAGAAATACCAAAGAAAAACAGTGAGAATGTGTAGTTTCAGCTTCTCTAACACAAGGTCTAACATGAGGAGAACCTAATGGCAACTGAACAGATTTGAAATGCCTGATGGGGTCAGTCACTGCTTTCTAGCCCCCTGTCTCTGGGGCCCCATGTGAGGCTGTGTTCGTTCATCACGTTTCTCTCCATCAGCTGCAGCACAGGGAGAGCAGAGGAGGGGGCGTTTTGGGAAAGCAATGCACAGAGCATATTAAACCTTCTATTACTTTTCTACAGTTAACATCATAAGTTCTGGCTTGAACCTTCAAGAAAGCTGACTGGAAGGTATCAGAGAGCTTTCAAAGACAAGGGGATTAGGAGAGGATAAAAAATATTTAAAGAACAGAGGGTGGATAGTCACGTTTCAAGGACATGTTGCTGGCAATACAGAGTAAATGGTTTCCACAAGCAAGGCTGTGTCCATAAGGCAGTGACTAGAGTGTTTAACTTTTTAGCTTTAGCAATAGCAAAAGAAACAAAAAGAGCACAGTGTAAGCCGAAATCGACCCACAGATGTTTCTGAAATGTGAAATAATATACATATAAATTATATATAATATAATTTGAAATAAAATAAGGAAAGAAATGCTAAGGTAATTTGTGTGTTAAAAGTGAACATATGCCTTTTATGTCTAAATTGTAGACAATCTGATTATAAAACATGACAGAACAGGAAGGACTGTTAAAAATGCAAGCTCATTATTCCGGAGGAATATTTTCAAGGATGGATTGTTTGCATGTTCTGGGGAGAGCGATCTGTTCAGGGAGTGTGGATTCCAGAGGTCCAGGAGACCATTATCCAAAAACAACAAAGCTTTCACCTGCAGTATGAATGCCTGTACTTGTGTGTGGCAATGCTGAAGGAGAAATAAACACAGAAAATAACTAGTTATAGTATGTTTTGCCAAGCATTAAGCAGGTGCAGTTTTTACTGCAAAGTCTGTGGCTGACCTGAAGTAGCAGAGAATGATGACGATCACCAGGATGATGCTGCACACCGTCACTGAGATCATCAAGGCCATATGGTGAATACTCCCATCAGCATAATCTGCAAGAGAAGAATTTGTTTAGTTACAATGCCTCTGATAAGGTTGATTTCCTTGGACTTGTTTCATATTTGCAGGATGAGAAGCTGCTTTTGAAACTCTCGAAGAGGGGAAAGGACAGGGTACTGAATTCCTAACTCATATAATTACAAAAACAAACTGTGAATTTTTTAAAAACTTTCTTAGGTACATATTTTAATTGGGTTATGAATATATACTGTATGAAACCAGGTGCACATATGCTGGTGAAGAATTGGTCAAGCTCTTCAAACAAGAAGAAAAATGGGCGCCCATAGCATGAAGACCCAGACTGCTGACACGAATGCCAGCTGATGTAAGGTAACTTTGTAAGGGTAGAAACCAGAGCCCGCCTGTGTCTTTCCTGGCCTGGTTTCACACTCCTGCGCCCTGTAACTCAGCGCGGAGCACTGATATGACAGCACTGGTGCTGAACAGCGGGGGAATTCAATCTCTATTGATCCCACTCCTGAAATAGGCCGATTAGCTTTCAGATTGACAGACGCTAATGAAAACCCAGAGACCCAGAGGTTTCTTGGGGACTCTTCCTTTACTGTCATGCACTTGCTCTAAGAGATGAGAGGAGCCCCTCCATCTCTAACACACACATTTGCATTCCCTCCATCTCTCTCTAACACACACATTTGCACTCCTTTTTGTACTAACTTCCTGTTGACTCTCATTCTGTTTTTACTATACCAAACCCAAACTTGAGAAATGGGGACACTTTCTTACATTTTAACCCCACATCCATAGTAATATATGGTTATACACACATTCACACAGACAGAATCACATCACCCCTTTTGAACATCACCATTAAAAACTCCCATCCAAACCACTTTAGGCACAGATCTGAAATAAATCCAACCAAAGTTTAGATAAGAGTCCAATTATTTCTTTAAATAACACAAACACAGGGGTACTGAGAGTTTTCGTAGAACAACTAATGATATTGGTGAGTATTCTGCACATCTCCTTTAGAGAGGCAAGTGGACAGATACCCTTGCCCTCCCTGCATGTGAAACTGAAGAAATCTCTAGGGAAGCCTGTCTTTTTATTATAGAGTGAGAAAACAAGCCAGGCTGAAGGCTCCATTTCATGGTTTATCACCAGTTTATCATCTTCTGTTAGCCACTCATTCCATTGTAAAATGTGTGGTTTGTAACAGTTTAACATGTCAGAGCCTATCAGTGTGAAAGAGCAGGAATGCCGAAACGAACAGGCGATTCTGCTCACTTTGGGCTTAGTGTTAGGTTGAAAGGCGGGCGTGGGAGGAGGGATTACATGCAAGTAGGACAAGATGTCCTCTTAACAAGTGAATTAAATGTAACTTTGGCTCTTTAGTAATTTGTTTCTTTATTGTGACTCAGACGTTATGTGAAATCACCATTGCACAAATTAACCCTACTCTGCACTCTATCTTAACTCCGACACTGGGCAATTTCAAGTTAAGAATGAAGCTGAAAAACTGCTTCAGAACTGGAGAGTAGAGTTATATACTTTTAAGGATTTTGGCTCCACTCGGTCAACCTGACAGAATCGTTCTGGATGTTTTGCCCCTTTGGAAAATCAGGGATATAATGTAATGGTAAAGCATGAAAGAAATTCAGGTGTGACGGCAAGAATGATAACTGTAGATCTTCTTCTCTCTGTTGAGTTGAGTTACGACCCTCAGAAAAACTAAACATCATAATTACAACCACTTCCAATTCATTTACTCTAGGGTTTTACTCAAGCATGACCCTACGGGCCAGAATGCAAATGCCTTGAAAGCATTAGTCGGAATCAGCTGGCTTCAAAGTGTCAGAGTAAGACTTGTGATTGAAGGAAGGAGGTGGCAGAAGCACGCTTTACTACAAAAGCACACCGAGGACTACTCAAGAATCTAAAACTGTAGGGAGGCTATAATTACAGTGTTTCCCAGTGTATTTATAACCACACTCATCATAGCTTATTGAAGTTAAACAGCTACATAGCGATTAAGCCCATTAGAATAAGCTATTTCAATAAGAGGACATACTCATACATCTGGTACTGTATAATTTACAAAATAACATTACAGACAATATGATGTGATTTCTTTTTTTTACTTCGAGGTATTTTGACCCTGAGTTTATTCCGTAGTTGGAACATGTAGCACCGAAGTTCGCCTGCTGTTTTATTCTCCTGACCTCAGCCTTGCATAGATGTTGTCTAAGCTGACTGTTAAAGAATAGGAGATTCAATTATAAGGTGTGCAGGTATGCTGTAAGAAGCCTGGAACCAGTCAACCTGTTCTCCCCATATGACTACGCCTCTGAAAGCCGGACAAGCTGTTCTTTCTTAACAGCAAGGCCAGGTGCTGTACTCTCAGTATGTTGAGAGTTTCTCACCAAAGCCAATAGGAATGTCTTAGAAGGGATCACAAAAAAGAAGAGAAGGGTGAAATCTGAGGCTGTTCCTTCCCAGCCCCTTTCCCCATTAACGAGCCACTCATTAATCACCACGCACATGCACGCAGCCCTGGAGACAGACACGCCGGCTCCAGCATGGGTGTTTAACTGCGCACTAAATCAACAATGCAAGCTTCCCTCTCCCTCTCACTGGCTCCTCTGGGGTTTAAAGTCAGAGAGAATCTGCCGACAGAGGACACTGCACTGACAAAGTGGGATGCCTGTGGGGGACAGACCCCCATCCCAAACCACATCTATAGTTCCCCAAGAGACAAACCCCCATCACAACCCAATCTATGGTTCCCCAAGAGACCGACCCCCACCCTGATCTGGATCTGCAGTTCCCCCAGGAGACAGACCCCTGACCCTGACCCCCACTTACTTGTCTTCAGAGGCGGCAGGGTGGGATGAAGGTCTTTATTGCAGAAGTCTTTGTCAGAGCAACACTCGATTGATCTTCTCAGGCGGGAATTTGGGGTGTCCTGAAACACAAACACAGATTATCTAACACTCGAGAATGGTGGATGCATGATCCCATTGGGCAATGAGCACTATGTAAATAGTGCATCTACACTATCTTTTTGATTTCCTACTGCCATCCTACAGAAGCTCTTCCTCTTACTTATTATTAATTTATCTGGCGACTTGCATTTGTACTGACTAATACTGACTAATACAGACGGGCACTTCACTGGAGCTCCTTGAGTGAAGCACTTTGCTCAGGGCACAGCGGAAGATTCCTACCTGGGATTTGAACCCACAAACATCAAGTTCTGCCTGTTCTGTTTAATGTACTAATGGCTTCATTAAGAGCTAGATGCCACTGTGTGTTACTTCACTGTAAGCAGTACTGCTTAAACTGATTAAGCTTTTAAACATTCATCACAGATAACCACTGTGTACATAAGCAAAGAAATGAAAGTTGATTTTTAAAAGAACATATTTGGACTGCTTGTCCTTCACATTGCTTTTTGAAAAAAAATGAAAAATTGGCTGACAGTGGCACAGAGAGCTGCAGGTTCAAACAAACCCTCCATCCACTGAAGGCACAGTGTAAACTCAGGACCTGGATGCGTCCATGCTTTTAACGGACAGAGGAGAGAATAAAAAGTGTCTTGAAGTTCATAACATGCAATTGGCAAATCTGTGTCTTCTTCCATTCAATCAATATGGGAATTCTAAGACCCGGACCCTACCCGGCACTGAAAGTCTGAGCCATCCTTTGCCAAGCATCCAGAAGTCATAGATGAAACCCCACTGGTGTCCTCTTCCACCATAGTGAAACAGTGGCCATCCGTCCTGCCAACACAAGAGTAGCACTGAAAGTCTGCATCTACAGTACTGAGTCCACAATAGTGCAGGTTGAGTACAATCACTCAGTCAAGCTTTGCGTTCTATGAAGACTCTAATTGATTACATTGAAAATGAATAAGCAAACTTTGGAAGTATGGAAGTTTTCTATACCCCAGGAAGAAGTGAAAGACCAAACCTTGACTGTTTTGTTCAGGCAAAGTGTGGCCAGGATAGCAGCAATCAAGTGTGTCAGATTTGCAGTTTGAGTTTGACAAAAGCTGCAGCCAAACAGCACTCTTATCTGTCCTTGGTAGGTTAAAAACCATAGGTTAAAAATTGTAAAACATGCATTAAACGGTAACAGTTTTGTATTATTAACTATAAAATGGCTTAAAGATTTGATAAACCTTTCATTGTAGTTAAATGAAAAGGGTAACTTTAGAGTTCACCAGAGGTTATTCTCGAAACCCCCTGCCCTAAGAGAAACTATTTTTGCCAGAAAGTCAATGAGGAGACATACCAGCAAGAAGTAAAAATACACACTGTGGAAGCAGACTAAAAAAATGTTGCAGCAAAACACAACCATTATTCTGCCCAAGGGCAGCCTCCTTGTCCACATGACCTTTGAGAATGAAGGTTAAATACTTTCACACTGTTGTCAGGGAAAACTGACTGTACCTCGCTGACAGATTTTTTAATGGCCCTTCAGCACCACCGCTGGAAAACGCAGTGTTTGGAGCAGCAGTGACTGACAGAACAAACGATGGCTATCAGGAACAGGAGGGGGAGCGCGTGCCGCTCTGCTCTGAGCGCTGTCACGGCCTCGTCTGGGGAGCCCGGTGCCCAACAGCCACAGCAAGTCTTTCAGGCCTCTTAGGCTACAGATACAGGCAACCATCTACGTGCAATTTCCTAAAGGAAGTGGTATTCAAACCTATCTGGTGGTTTTTGTAAATGTATCCTAAACCTTCATACAAACGCAAAACATTTTTTTCTGGTCTCTGTGGTTTAATAATTCAGGGAGAATCTGTACAATGTATGCAAAATAACTATTTTTCATGATTTTTTTTCTATGCATGATTTTTCATATGTAAAAAAAAATAAAAACACTGAAAATATGAAGCCCAGATAACTACAGCCTTAGAAATGTTTTTTTAAGGCTTAAAAATATAAGCTGGTGAATTGTATGAGCACATTTTTTACACACAACTCCAAAGCATAATTATAGTATTCTGCTGGGCCAGGCAGGTCACTGAGAGGCTCAATGGATTTGGAAAGTCTTTCAGCATCTTTGAGACCTCCTTCAGAGCCAAATACCAAAAAGCACTTGATTGTCAAGATATCTGATGTGAGAACAAAAACACTGATGCTTCAATGCATGTACCTAATATGTACAGAAGCTTTGTAATGTCTTAGTAATTGATCTGAACAGATTCTTGCTTTACTTAGTCAACATTAAGGTGATCTTTTGTTGGAATAAGTCTACAAAACAGTATCGGGTATCACTGGGACCTTCCAGAGATCACTGCTCTGCACCATTTCTCGTGAAGGACATTTCACATCACAGCAAGCAAAATCCAAATTCAAAGCAAACAAATCACGTCTGCCTCTCTGAGCCACAGGCATTCTGCTCAAGAGGAACAGGTGCGTTTCACTCAGTGTCGGTGGTTGAAGGTGGCCCAGGGGTCCCGTGACACATCTGTACCTTGTCAAAACATGCTGCCCAATCAGCTGTCATGACCCTGTGCAAACGCCAGCTTCTGTTTCAGGAACACCCACGCAGGTGACTTTTGACCTTACCAAGAATGTTCAAAATGAATGTCCATGTGTTGCTGTTTTAGAACCACACACAGAATGATTCCTGTAAAAAGTTTAACAGTACTGATAGTTTTGTCAATATCTACTCCTGCACACCAGCCACAGTAAAACACATGATTAAATAGCATTTAATCACACTACATTCCCATCTCCTCTTCCATCTGCCTCTTCCGAACGTTTCAGTATGCCTGGCCACTGGGTTAACCAGTGCAGCATTGTGTATCACACATGATTTAAAAGTACTTTTCCATAAATTAACAATCTTTAGAAACAGCAACCATAGAACAAACATCAATTGATTGACAGCTTTGAGTGTAGCAAAAACTAGATAGTTTTGAAATCCTCCAGATGCTGACAGCCTTAGTTTAGAGGCTCATTCAATGGTCAGATTCCTATTCTCCCCTTAAACGTGCCAGAGGTCCCCTGAGCAATCCCACCTCCCACTTCAAGCGTTTTCAGGTTTGAGTCTCACTTGCAGGTGTTGTTTGTGGATTCCTCTGGGCAGTGATTCTGGCAGTGGCACCACAAGGCCTTCTGGGGCACCATGGGCATCTTCCCCTCACTGTCCTCCTTCCTGCCATCCATGGTCAACTTCCCAGAATTCCTCAGCAGTGCTTTATCCAGCAGGTTGGCTGAAAAAAGTAAGATGCAAAATGGACTGTTAACTTAAATCGAACAACCTACTGAAGGGTTAGAGAATCATTCAACAGCCAAGAGCTTCACATTTTCCCCACTTCTGCAGTAACATGTTGCAAAAAGTCTGTTCAGAAATGCAGGTGTAAAATTACATTATGTTTGTTTCTCCTCTATTCAAGACATGATTAAGTCTTCCTTTCGTCAGATGACAGATCAAACTGAGGTGTTTCTGACACAGTATGTTATTTTGGATAAAAATGTTGCTGACTGAATACTGGTAATCACAATATTAATCTTGCCTAAGAAGATAACATGTTCTATTTTGAAGAACAGCACATTTTCTGTAAAGTTGATGAGTAGGTTCACAAGCACATATTTCCAGTCAGAGTGAATGATGAGCCTACAGTCCAGAGACTGCTGGTTCCAATATCTGGGCTATGATTCCAAATTTAAAGTATATACAATGTGCAAGGCAGATTTATCTACAATGAATGGATTGAGATCCTTCTGAATTTGTGTCATTCATTCACTGGAATAAGATCATTAACTGCAGATGTGGCACAGTTGTGCTGTGACCAAATGAAATAATATTTAACTTTAATTCCCACGGGAAAGTATCGAGTATGATCTACCTGCATGAGCCTGTTTTAAAAAAACAGGCCTTTCAGTGCTACTCCCATGTTGCAGAAAACTACATTGTGCCAACACATTAAAAATTTTAAAAGAAAGGCCAATTCATACTCCGTATTTCTGTCTCTCTAGGAAGCAATTTCCTGCACAGTGCTTTAATATCGATGGTATGGTCCTGTACTTTGGCACACAATGAATTTTAAGAGCCCTCATCCGAGTTCCTGTTTGGTTTCATTGTAGCTTACAAAATCACGTAAGAGAGAGGGTCTTATTTTATGCAGGAGCTGCTGCTATATAAGGAAGGCTGAGGTGGTCTTCTTTATGCGCCATCCTGTCTTCTACCTCATTTCTGTTTGCTGGGGTTAAGATTTTAAGGAAAGGGCTTCTGCACTGCAATGCAGCTATACCTGATGCCCTCACAACCCCTGCCCCTCAAGGAGAAACCCAGCATCCGATCCTGCTCTTTAAAGTAATGTATATACCACACTGACTCCTTTCTGTGCTCAATTATGTTTAAATGAGGCATGCAGGCTCAGTGGGCAGTGTAGATTTTAAATGAGGGAGGGGGGGAGAGCTGGGAAACACTGAAATACACAACAAAGTACTCCTTTCTACTTCAACCCTGCTGTAGCACTTCCTATTGTCAGTTTCACTGCCTGCCCCAGGTGTGGTGGAGGAGTGTGTGAGGGATACAAAGCTGAGAGGCCCGAGTACATCAAGAACATCAAAAGGTGTTTGATCACTTTCCATGTAAGACCAGAACCAGAATCACTCCTCCAAACACACAGACACACAAACATTAATAAGGATTCCCTAGGATATAAATAAGGATATAAATCTTGATATCTATATTAATAAGAATCTCCAGGACAAGGAAATTCATAACCCAGCAGGCAAAATCACATCTTCTATGTATGATTCAAGGAACATTGAGATGGATCGGTAACGAAGAGTAATGAATTAATGCACAATCCCAGAGGAGTGATGTAATAATCACCAAATAATGGGGTTTCTTGTGTAGATAAGAGTCCAGAAACACCAATGGATTTCACTTTTGCTTGGCTGCGGTTTTTGAAAAAGACCACACTTCAGCTAGCAGTGCTGGCTGACAGAACCAAGCTTTTCCTATTGTCCCAAAGCTCACACTTGCGCGCGCTGTGTGTATTTTTCTTTCTCCTCTGTAAAATATCCAAAGACCAAATGTGAAGGTCAATATCGGAGTTAGGGGAACATAATCATTTCTTTCAACAAACGTGAACAAAAGTCAGTTGCTGCAGCTCTGAAACCTTGTTTTTAATGGACAAAAAGTATTTGAATGCGCCCAGGCAGCAAGAGCTTCCAGACATCTGGCTTACAGAGCAAAATAAAACAATCCGATTAACAAAAGGGTTAGAGAGAGTTTATACTGGAAGCTTTATGTTTTGTAGAGTTTTGTGGAGTCCACTCTATGTCAATTCTAGTGTGATTCTCTCCTGTAGGTGTCTGGACACTCAAGTTTGCAGGTGCAGAAATATTTTAGTTTCCAGACAGCAGCTGACATATCAGGGCTGTGAACTGCAACCTCTTCAGCAGGAAAGAAAACAAAACCGACAATACAGCAGTCCTGGGATTAGCAGTTTCGGATGGATACAAAGTGCTCCCGACAGAGAACTTTTCCCACAACTCCGCTCTTTGTGTCCCTGATATTTAGAAGCAGTTTCACCCATGCACTGGTAGCCAGAACCTTTTGTACAGGTATTAATGCAATCATTTTTGGCCAGCAGATGAAAAGGAAGACGACAGAAAAGTTAGACGAAACTTTTGAGTGACACATGGAAAGTGAAACTCAAAAGACCAGTCTCTACCATATTGACAAATATATATAGTGAAAAAAGGTCAGTTCTGTGGTACACTTTTCTTTTCATAAATTCAAGTGACAATAAAAAGACAGGACAAACATCACTTGCAAGAACTCACTAAGCTTAAAATAAATACAAATAAATATGTCCAGATGCCAACACATAAGGAAGCTATCACATTCAATTACTACCATCATCAATGCTCCAAATCAAAGTTACAAAAAGGGTAACTTTAATACTGAATGACAAAAATGATCCTTGCCATTTTCAAGCACTGCTGTTTTGAATGATGGATGGAAAACAATTTGTGCTGTTGCTTAAGGCCTTATGGCAGGTATTAAAAAGGGTATTACAGTTAATTAAATTGTTCCCACATTTTCATTATATAACATAATAAATAATATATTTGTGTTATTCAGAAATTTCAGAAAAACTTGATGTTGGACATGCTCACTTTTGCCAGCAATCACAACACAAACAATACTTCTGTTCCTTCTCTTCTTTTTGAAAAGGTTGTAACAAACACACCCTGTATATAAACAAACTAGTGTAAACATGCCCACATTCCATTTGATCACACATCTATTACCAACAGGTGAACAATACATGTCTTTGGTAGTTGTCCCTTTAGCAGCCTCTAGTGGAGAGTCCATGCTCATTAGAGCTCTGAGCAACTCTCAGCCAGGGCAAACCATCACAATACACGCTACAGGCCATTTAGAAAACAAAACAGAGAATTTACAGGTACAAACAAGAAGACCTTCTTCATGTAGTTTGTTTGCTAGTAGCTACAGTATTTTATCCAAGAATCCCATCTAGCCATTCCATGAGAGATATCAGCTTCAACAACAAGGCTAGGTAGCTTGTTTCATACTTCCACAAACCCTTTCAGTTCTTAGTCAAGCCCCAATTAGAGCATTCATCTTTTAACTGTATGGTTTTCTGTCCATAAACTAGTTCTTAATCCAAACAAACATTTTTTCTTGAATGCCTATTGCCTGCAGTTTTAGAATTTTAGAATTCATCTTTAATGCCAAATTTTATGTAAAAAAATGAAAATCTAAATACACCATACCATATGCTCTGTTGCTGCTTTCTAAAAAGAGAGTTAAGCAAAACACTCCTTTTCTAAGTCCATGTGGGATTTGCTGCTCAAACTGAATTCTAAAGCAGGAACTCATGAATACTACAAGAAGTCATCCTGTGTCTCACTGGTAACAGCAGGGAAATGCTGAAGAAGTCACATCTGATTAGGCCTCTGCACACAGCTCTTGAACTTCTGATACTAGCTCAACCCTGGACCAACAATCCTCATATTCTATTTGGAGGCAAGTGAAGTTTAGTCAGTGAGTGAAACTTTTAATCCAGTTTAATGAGGCTTTGGAAACAGAGCATTCATATCATGGAGCTCTGAGGGTGTGTACAGGAGGGACTACAGCAATGTTCCCCATCTTACAGAAATTGTTTTTTCTGTGGTCAAACCTCATTCTCATTCAGAAACAACGTTTTGGAGCTGCAGGCAAGTTCAAAAAGTAATACAAGTGCTACAGTAAAACTGATAAGAAGCTGGTATTGACTTAGCACAAGGCACAAATCCTAGAACCAAACAAAAACATTGAAACAAAGTCAAGTGATTGAATTCCCAACTGTATTCACTGCATGACAAAGTGGCACCTCACTGTGAACACAATGCAGAACAAAACAGTGACCTAGACAGGTGTATCCCAAGCCACTAAAGGACTGAACTGAAACCTAATTGATTAATAGGCACAAGTGGTTAAGATCACTTCCAGAATTATTAAAGAATTCCACCAGCAGCTGGGAAGTTCATTACAATATGTTTAAGAAATGTTGCATTAAGACCGCCTACAGGAATCTTGCATCTTGATACAAAACCCATTCAGGCAACTGACTTACTGTATCATGATAAAAAGTGTAGTGACTCATTGATATCAGTATGAACTATGTTTCATCGTAGACAGAAACAGCCCTACTCAGTATTATCTGAGCACATCTGTTTTATTCTAGAAAAGTATCTCAGACAATGGCTGATTCATCATTGCATACTGTACTCAGCCTTTCAAGACATCAACACAAAGATCAATGGAAGTAGGAACTCCAAATTAAGAGATGTCTACAAAACACATGTATTCCTGGTTTTGGTAACATTGCAACCACTGAGTTACAAAGGCCTCTGAGATCCATGACTATCTATAAAGTTGTGCATGATTAGGTAGCTAAGTTAACCAGTTGAATTAAGTGGAATGTTAAGTCCAACATGTCCAGGAATATACCCAGGACATTGAAGTCGGCACCCCTGATCTAATAAACAAGACCCCGGTTTGATGTCTATTGATGTCTCATCTGAAGGACAGCACTACTGGACAGTTTTCCCAGTCACCATACTATTCCACTTGTCTGGAGTGAACACTGTCACTTGGCTGCCAACATCATTTACAGCAGAACACTGCTTTTTCTTGGTCTCTCATCCCAGTACCTTCTTTTCTTTTGAGATCTGACAGGGTCAG